AATAGGTATACTACGATGTCACCATTAGTTCTTTTAATTAAACCAGACATACACAATCCCTGCTGTTCTTTGTACGTTTTAGCTTCCAGCCCCCTATTCCTTCTTGTTGCTCTTCTCTGCACTCTTTCCAGTGTCTCAACATATTTTTTGTATCATGGCGATTCCAACATACCTTCTTTTACACCCCAGTTACAACCATGATCTCTCCCCCCCCCCAACTCCTTTGGCTTCATTCTTCAAACAGCCTCTATTTTATCATTTCCTATTGGGTGGGTGGGGAAAGATATTTTATGACTGAGGCAAGCAATTTACAGAGGTCTCTGTGTAATATAAACGCCTGTATGATTCTATTGGGTGCAGAAAAAAAAATTAAGACCAAAAAGCTCAACATCGGAACCCAATCCTTAAGAAGGGGGGGGGGGAAGGATTCATGCTTGTGAGTTCGTGCCCAGTTTTGCTATCGCTGCACCGGATGCTCATGTTTTAAAGTCTACTTTGCTGGAGAAAATGGAGGGGGTGTTGGTGGTGGCTGAGTGCTGAATCGTTGCCTGGGGCGTTGTGTCGATGTCAGCGATACCAACTAAGCCTGAAAGTATCCGTTGATTACCAAGTGTGATTAACCAATTAATAGCTTGATTACAGACTAAATATACAGCTCTGGTTAATTGGTGCTGGTAGCCCACTGGTATCTTGCCTTAAGCCCTCTCCCAGGCTCCAAGTTAATAAATTATTGTTCACTTCCAAGGACTTCTATTTTTTAAAGCCAGCCGCTTTTACATTTACATTTACTCACTGTTTGCAAATGTGAACTGAAGCCTCAGAAGCTCCAAAAGGATGAAGGGAAGGATGCCAAATGGAGCTGTCAACTAATTTCTCTTGATAGTGCTATTCTCCCGCCTTAAATAAAATTAAAAAAAAAGAGCAATTGAAGGCAAACTTAACTGGCAGAAATTTAAAATATCAGCTTTGGGACTTTCAACCACTCTGGATTACAGCCATCTTTTAAACTGCCTATAGCTGACACAACAAATCACGAAGATTGTTTTCAGGGGATGCAACGGCTCTACAATTAATGAGCCTTAACATTGTTTCTTGATCACGCAGGATTGAAGGTTCCTTACCACACAGGTTAACCTGCTTAACCAAGGAAGAACATCTGGGTCACATTAAGCACTGTGGGAATGCTCACCAACTACAGACAAGTGCATGTACATTCCCTTTTCAGGACTCGAGTCCCTGCCTGCATCAAATAGACCGTCAGCCACCAGAAACGTGTGAAGCAAATATCTAAGTTGCCATAAAACTGTTATTTTTGGCTGCAAAGAGCTTCAACAAGGGTGCACCCTTATAAATGTTCTGGTGCTGCCATCTTGTGGTCTCAGCCAAACCTTACAGTTGCAAAGCCATCTTAACGCACTGCCACCACCAAAGTGCCGTGTCCCCTATTTGTGTTCCCCCACAAATACACTCCAAATGTGTTTGGGGCACAACTCCTGGCTTGGGGGTAGGGCAAAGGGCACAACAGGCAGTCCTTCCAACCAAAAAGCAAAGGAATTTGCACTCTCTACCCTGTTTCTCCAAGCGTGGCTAAGAACCAAGTTGGTGGGCATTTGTTTTCTGTTTCCTTGAAATGTGCCCCACCACATTTTATTAATTTGGGGCATAACCAAGCACAGAGGTGATTTTGTTGTGTGAAATTCCTGCCTTCTGGCATGTTTGGGTTGGCCACAAAGAGCATAGACAGTCCTCGACTTATGACCAAAATTGAGCCCCAAATTTCTGTTGCTAAGCAAGACATTTGTTAAGTGACATTTTTTTGGCCATAGTTGTTGTTAGTAACCTGATTGCTAAATGAATCTGGCATTCCTTGTTGACTCTGCTTGTCAGAAAGTCGCAAAAGAGGATTACGTTACCTGGGGACATTGCAACCGTGATAAATACACGTCAGTTGTCAAGCTTCCAAATTTTGATCGTGTGACCCTGGGGACAGACCCTGGGCCTGGGGACCCAGCCTTGCAAGGGTTGTAAGTGTGAAAATTGATCGTAAGTCACTTTTTTCAGTACTGTTGTAACTTTTGTCAGCAAACAAATGCTTGTTAAGGTGAGGACAGCAGAAATAAGTGGGGTTTCCCTATTTTTCTGCTTGGAGTTTTGTAAATGAAACACATGCTAAAAATCCATTTTTGAACTCCTGCTTCAGCAGGGGGGTTGGACTAGAAGACCTCCAGGGTCCCTTCCAACTCTGTTATTCTATCTTAGAACCAGAGCTGTTTCCAAGAGCATCTGCAGGAGGACTCCAAGAAGCCAAGATGGCAGTTGTGATCACAGGTGCCTAAAAAGAACAGGGCTTTGGCCCTCACCCCCACCATCACTCCTATTTCCAGAAATCTGGAAAATCAAAGCACCATACTGTCAGGGATGGGCAACTATGGCCCCTTTACAACCTGGGGAATTCTGGGAGTTGAAGTCCACAGGTCATAAAAGTGACCTGTGGCCATCCTGCTATACGTAGAATTTAGGCATCGGAATGGAGCAGCAGCTCATTTGGAAGGAAAGAAGGGATATCAGCTGATTCACACACACACACATACAGTTGCAAATTTATTTTATGTTGCATCATATTTTGGCTGCAATGCTCACCTTCTTCCTGGTTCATCTCAGCAATTCCTTGGCTGCTTTGCAGAGGATGGAAAATCTGTCATCTGAAACAAGAGTTGTTCTGACCCAAGAGTTTCTATGATGTGAACCTTCTACCAGCAACAGTGGCTAAAAGTTTTGCTTGGCTAGTAACAGGATGCTGGTTCAAATCTCACTAATTTTCCTTCCTTCCTTCTCTTTTCCTAGCTATTTGAGGGCTTTTTTCCAAGGATAGAATGCAACGCTCCAACATTTATTCCTCTGGACACTTGAGTGAAAATAATTATTTCTATGAAGTTTCTGCTGGATGTCAAAACCGCAACCTCTTGCATAGTAGGTAAAGCTCTTAGCCACCAAGCTGTAGGGGAGATTACTAAGTTTATTAGAGTACAAACTGGCTGGGAAGAAGCTGCTTGTCATGCATATTAATTTTATAAATTAATTTGCATTTTAATTTACTACCTAGATGGAAATAAGTTAGTATGTATCAACCTGAATATTATTTTGCATGGGTTTGTTTTTAGGTTTATCTATGTGTGAGCATTTGCACATGTACTACAGGCATATATACACACACTTCCTCTCAGAGAAAAGCAATTGGTTTTCCCAGAGTAGAAAAGTGGGATGGCACAGCAACAAGAGGATGTTGTAGCCTTGGGTTAGGACTCAGAGTATGCTGCACATTGTTGCCAAAGTTTAGGCAGGGTTTTTTTAAGCCTGCGTGAGCACAAGAGGAGCACCTTAAATTTTAAGTGTGTATCTCAGGGGTGTCCAACCTTGGCAACCCCTGGGCTTCACTTCCAAGAATTCCCCAGTCAGCATGGTGTATATCTATACATATACATAGGCTCCCGATGCTCTCCGAATTAACTGAATTACTGGGAAGGTGAGCATGAAATGAAAAATAAAGAGAAAAAAACAGTGGAGATTTCAAAATAATATATTTTACTTTTGCAGGCAAGAGCTTGAAATTGCTTAATATTTTTTTTGGCTAAGGGGTACTTCCCAAAAGCTGATTGTTCCCAATTCCAAGATTTGGCTGGATCACCATCACAGTAAGAAGAAATCTCCACAGAAATCAGACCCCAGTAGGATTCCAAAATGCTCAAGTGTTCCTTGAATTACCCTAATGTCATTAATAAAAGAAGGGAAGCCTTTTTGCTGCATCTCTCATCTGCTTTTTGTTATTCGGAGCAGTGAGGAGCTTCTGAGCTTTTGACAGCTTTCCTTCGATGGGGAAGGAAGCATCCGTCAAGGGCAGTTATGGCTGTTTTTCAACAGGTACAAATGCAGCATCTGTTAACAGGAGCTGGCAAGCAGGACCTCTGCTCTTTATTTATCAAAAGCCGATGGATTAACTAAAATAAAACTGTAGTGGGCTGACAGGGAGTTTTCTGCAGTCAAAGGCCTTCGGCTCATACCACTCCCATAGCAGTCACCGTAAATTTCAGGAAAGCAAGATGCAGAGGTTGCAAAATTGGGAGGGACAGCTAATACTTTAGAAGACAGAAGTAATATTCAAAACAATCTGGGCAGGTTAGATAAAGAGACCACAGATAATGTTTACAAAAGCAAATGCAAATCTTTCATTCAGGCAACTGAAACCAAACACAGGAGTACAAGAATAGAAATTCCAAGCTCGTCAGGATCTTGGAACTATAATCAATTATAAACTGACTACCTGGCAGCAGCATGATAATGGCACACAATTCTAGCTTGTTAGCAATAAAACTACTGCCTGCAAAAGGGTGGTAGGATTCCAAAATTCCACTCAGTTTAGCATTGGTGGATCCTAGCTCAGTCCTGACCAGTTTTGTGTAACATGCTTTAAGAACTGATAATAAACTGGTTCATATACTACAGTGGTCTCCAACCTTTCTGGCACCAGGGATTGGTTTTGCACAAGACAATTTTTTCAGAGGGGTGTATGTGTGTGTGATTTTTCACACAACGTAGATCCCGTGCATGCACAGATGAAGATTCACTCGCTCAGCCACTTGTGTGGTCTGGTTGCTAACAGGTCAAGGACCGGTACCAGTCTGCAGCCCAGGAGTTGGGGACGCCTTATATACCAAGAAGGGCAGGAAGGTGCTTGGGGAACTAGACACAAAACTGTATAAGGAGACTAAACCCGTTTAGCCTTGAGAAGACTGACAAGGAAAGGGATCATTTTTCTGAGTGTTGAGAGAAACTTAAAGCAGTTAAGAGCAGTTAGATGGTACAAGCATCCAAGGCAGGTATCAGATGGATTTAAGTGCAGGCTAGACAATCTACCTGCAAAGGCCAACAGTTGTACTTGATGCCAGGACTTCAGTGGTAATTCCAATTCTATGAAAAATTAACAACTTGCAATGCCACAGAAGTGAGAAGCTGTAGTATATGTTTATTTGGCAAATATATATGAACCCCCAATCCTTGGTGGCTCATAAAATACATTTCAATGAGGCAATGCTAAAATTCCCAACAATTCCAAAACTAGTTAAAAGCCAACTTAACTCTTATGGCTGGGCACAAAAATGCAGTTTTTCCCACCGAATTGGCAAATTGGCAAAGCGTTTCAGAAATGCCACCAAAATCATTCCTGATGGGCTGCAGCTTGATAGAATCAGAACATGGAACCTTTTCTTGGCCCCAGGATTTGGCTCAAACAAAATCTGGAAGGCCTCTTGGTCAAAGCTGCTGGGCTTTCCATCACTCGGCTCCTCTTCCCTGGGCTGTAAACCAGGCTGCATGTCAATCTTCCCCTCCTCCCCTTAGTGACCATCACTGCTTATGTCCTTGCCTTTTTTGCCCCTCTCCCTTCCACCCTAAAACCTTCTGCCTAGCACACACATTTTAGTCCAAAGTTGAAACCTATTCTGTGCACAGAACCTTTTGTGTAACCTCACCATCAGGAATGGGGAATACAAAATAGTCGAGGCTTCTGAATTGTAGTGTTGCAGAAAATGGTTGAGAATACCTTGGAGTGCAAGAAGAATAAACTGTTCCCTATTAAATGAAATAAAACCAAACTGCTTCTTCAAAGCACTAATAATAAAAGTTCAGTGTTTTGAACAGAGAATATGAAAGCAATAATCAATGAGGAAGACTCACTGAAACACTGCTAGCAAAAAATATCCCTCTTTACAGAGGTTGCCACCTTTCTTTCCCCAGACATCTCATGGCTAGCTAACTCAAATCAGCTTTTCAATCAATATTGGATCCCTTAATCCAATTCCAAGGGTTTATAGCAATGTTTCTCAGCCTTGGCAACTCAGTGTGGACTCTAACTTCCAGAACTCCTCAGCCAGAATTCTGAAAGTTGGAGTCTACACACCTTAGAGTTGCACATGTTTAGATGAAGTCCACTTGAGAGCACTCAGAAAGTGTGATAAAATGCTTCTCTTTCTTGTCACAGATTTCAGTGTCATCCAGTGAATCTGCAGAACAAAAGGCAATGGTAACAAACATGGGGAAAAACTCAAAAGAAAACATTTTAACCGCTTTGGATGGGAGGGTCATTTATGAGGGCTCTTTCACAGTTACAGGGGAATTTTATTGACATTTCTACTGGGAAATACACCCACGACTCAGATTTGGAGAGTCTCCCAGCTATGAAGCCAATTAAAATTATGCAAAACAAGAAAGTCATTCACTCTGGAAACTAACTTCCCCAAACATAAGAAAAAAATAGGACAGAAGGTCAACTATGGGTTCTAGTTATTTTAACCAAAAGGAAAACAAAACAAGGGCAGTTTTCTCATAGACAGAAAACACAATTTTATCTAGATCTGTGGATACCACCTGTTAGAATAGAACACCCAAAACAAATAGATAGATACATTCCACAGATAAGAAGCCAGAGAATAAACAGAGGGACACAAAATATTACATGCCACCAAGTGATCTGCTAATAAATTCCAGAAGGAAATTTCAGAACAGGGCTTTGTTTACAACAGCAGCTATAATGAATGAAAGGTAAAAGCTAAGGCCATTCTAGATTCCAGACTGCAAAAGTTCCTCACCTCCATTGGCTGGCTGCATGTGTTCAGCTGGAGGGGTGCTGCTAAGCTGCCATATTGTTTTCACCCTTTTTGGTCCTTGACCGCTGCTGATTTCCACTCTCCATATTTGAGGATGAGCACTGTAAAAAAAAAAAAAAGAAAAAGGTAAGAATTGATAATATTAAAGAGGTGCATATATTTGGAAAGTTCTGTGGTAAAAAAAGTCTCCTGCAGGTAGCCAGATCTCAAGACTATCTCTGAATGTTGTAGCTACGAAGGAAAGCTGCGAGTCTTGAGCCCTAACCAGAGAGAGCAATGACTTACAACAATTCTTGGAAATTATTGTTTGGAACTAGACTCTCTCGCTTAGCATCTGAATTCACTTGCCTGAATGGACTAAATAGGAATTCTATAAGAATTTGTTTTAATATTGTTCTGTGCTGACAGTGAGGGCTGGAATGAGAAGCACTTTTCTTCAATGGTTCTCCTTCCCCAATGGCTGCTTCCAGTCAAATGAGACAGTGAGGAAAGGTCAAGCTGTCAGTCTCCCCATTAGTAGTTGTCAGGCGCAAAGAATCAGAACAATTCTGTGAATAGGCCAACATTGATCGGTTATTGCTGATCACCTGTTTATCAGAATCTCGCCAAACTGACTGCATACCCCTGAGAAACTGGAGATAGTCTTTCATAGTCTAGCCTCTGTTGTTTCCTCTCCTGGAGCGATTCCATACTGGAATGTCTTTTTACTCCCTCCCTCCCTCCCCCTTGGCAAGTAGTTCCCCCAATAATTCCCCCACAGATGGATTACTGTAGTATGTTCTAGGTTTGACTGTTCTGGAAGATCAACTGGAAACCCCAGCTAGCACAACAAGCAGTGGCCCAGGTAATCATGGGCACATTGTGGTTTGTCCACCCACCCCATTATAATGGGAGCTGCACTGGCAGCCTGTTACCGGGTTTCCCCGAAAATAAGACCGTCTTGTATTTTTTTGAACCCTGAAATAAGCATTTAGCCTTATTGCCATGTGCTCAAAAGCCCGATTGGGCTTATTATCAGGGGATGTCTTATTTTGGGGGAAACAGGGTAACTTCTGATTGCAATTTGGGATGCTGGTTGTCACCTCGGAAGCCCTACATGACATTACAAATGTTATCTTTCCTCAAAGACAAAGTTTCAACTACTGCCCATGTTTGACTGACAAGGAAACTTCTATGCCATTTATTATTGCTTCTCTGCCAATTTGATAGATGGCCCTTAACTCTCTGAGGACTTAACTTACTTTTGGTAAAATTCCTTCACCAAACATGTCCTGACTGGTAGCTGAAATGCATGCTTTTCATTCAGAGGATTTTCTTTATAGTAATTGATACAAGTCCTACAAAAACAAAAATAGTTTCACTCAACCAATTCTTAGATAAAATATTAGAAAAGTTATATAGATTACAAAGTAAATGAAAACCAGTGGCAACTTCAGATTTCTGTTCAATACATACAATATAGTGTATGTATACACACACACACACTATATATATACCGTATTTTTGGACTATAAGACACACCTTTTCCCCCAAAAAAGAGGGTGAAAATCTGGGTGCATCTTATACTCCGAATGTAGCCCCGTCCAGCTTCTCAAACGGAGGTTTCAGAGGCTGAAAAAAGCATCAGAAACGAAGCTTCAGAAAAGAAGCCCCCAAACAGAGCTTCAGAGGCTTTTTTCCCTGAAGCTCTGTTTCGGAGCCTTTCAGAGGCAAGAAAAAAAACCGGAGTTTCAGAAGTTTCAAAAAAAAAGCAAGGCCCAGAGCTCACAACCAAGGAACCTGTTGCTAAAATTCACCTCTGGGAACAGCTGATTGGGGGTATTCCGGGAGGCCGATCCACCTGCCAATCAGCTTTTTTCTTATTTTCCTCCCCAAAAACTATGGTGCATCTTATACTCCTAAAAATACGGTACACACACAGAAAGATATAGTTATATAAATAGCAATTTAGATAGGTACCATGATGAATAAACTTGGACTGAACTGAATAAAAAAGCAAAAGACACTAATTATACCCAAGCCTAGAAGTTGACCCACAAGGTATCCTATATAAGCCACAGAATAAGCAGATCAAAACAAGTGGGCAAAGCTAGGCCAAAACCTAAAGTTGATTTCATTTTTAATATTTAATCAAATGCAATACATACAATCACTTTCCAATCATATTAAATACATTTCTGTTCTATATTAAAGGTTTAAACTTTGGTAAGAAACAGGGATATGCAAGTCTCAAAATATTTGTTTTGTGACAATTTTTTAAAAATTGGTTTTCTATTAAGTACATTTCTTAGTGCTTAATGAACATCGTGTTGTCTGGAAAATTATTTGTTCTGTGACAATTGAGAAGTCTTTTAAATTTGAAAGACTCATTTTCAGGGATTGTTCTGAACTTTAAACCCTTGCAAAAAATGGATCTCACAGCCAGACCTTCAATTTCAAAGTATTCCCCACTCAATACTCCTTGGAGATGGTTTTTAAATAGCATACATCAGGGAGAACTCTCTCTTTAAAAATAAATTGTGTTGTGACTTTAGGAACATAATGGGAAGAATAAAGTTTCTTCCCTTGCCTCTTGATTTAATAGAGATAGGAATGGAAAATGAAGGTAAGAACGAAATGCTACTCCTAAAGGATCAAAACAATTTGGTAACTATTAATTTATGGGTGTTCCCCATGCTGCTGAAGTATTCCTTTAGCCTTCCTTCTCCAAATGCAGAAATAAGTGTAGGAGCTGCGCACTTTTTGCACAGCTATATGAAACAAAACCACCCCTAACATCACATTTATTCAAGGGAACCCTCTTATTAAGAGAAAGTTGCTGGCAAGCAATTACTGTGTCAGAAAGATGAGGTTTTCATGTTCTAGTTTGATAAGATCCAAGCAGTTGTCCACAATTTCCAACATGTGGTGTAGTTTCTGGATACGATGAACCTGTTCCTGAAGATTTACTGAAGTGGACATGAAGTAATCCTTTAAAAGAGAGAACAGAGAACAAACATCAGGAGCTATTGACAGCATCCTTAATCATGACCAAATGCTCGCTTTCCTAAGGATTGGATAAATAACAATATGTAGACAGCCTCAGTTGCAAAAATCCAGTAAGAATCTCCCCAATGCTCTCCATGCCAGACATCTGTCGCTATTCAACTCTCAAGTAGAGGTAGTCCTCGACTTATAGCCATTTGTTTAGCAAGCGTTCAAAGTTACAATGGTGCTGAAAGTGACTTACGACCAACCAATTTTGCACTTTTAACCACTGCAGCATCTCTGCAGTCATGTGATCAAAATCCAGGCACTTGGCAACCAGCCTGTGTTTATGACACTTGCAGGGTCCCAGAGTCATGTGATTGTTATTTGTGGCCTTCCTCACTGGCTTCCAACAAACAAGCAGTCAGTGGGGGAACCTGGATTTACTTAACATGTAATTCACTTAATAACTGTGGCAAAAAAGATCATAAAATCAGATGTGGCTCATTTAACAATCAGTCTGCTTAGCAATGGAAATTCTGGTCCCAGTTGTGTTCATAAGTCGAGGACTACTTATATAATATTATTTCAGGGGTGTCAAACTCACGTCGTCATCACATGATGCATTGTGACTTTTCCCCCCTTTGCTAAAATGGGCGTGGACGGTGTGTGACACATCCGGCCTGTGGGCCACGAGTTTGACACCCTTTTATTATTTGGAAAGTGAAGACTATGACTTACCAAATGAGTCCGTATGGCAAATTCTTTGCCTGAAACACAAAACATAATTTGTATCACAATTTCATACAAAATAAATGCTAAAAACTGCAATGAAAGCCTTAATTTATTATTTATTACAAAATTAGAAAACCAAAAGCTGGAGAGAATGAGATTTGCCTCCATTTTTGCATTATTGGGGCCAACTGAGAAACTGAAAGAAAAACTGGAGTAAGGAGACAGCTAAAGAGTTTTATCTTCCATAGTTCAGAGGTTAGCAGGGGAAAGTGACGATGGGGAGGGATCCAGCAATGTCAGATAATCAATTTTGTTTAGAAAAAAAATCTCTATTTATTAGTTTGTAAATTAAATCAATACAGCTTGATGTCTGATAAGTAATTTGCTCACCACTTGTATTAGTTGACAAGATACTAATATCTGTTTTTTACAGAGAAAAACAAATCATTTGGACACAACTACCCAAAATCAGGATGGGTACCCAACATACCCACAAAATAGCTGATATAGTCTCTCTTCATTTTATCCACGCCTATTTCTACAAGCATTTCAACGGGAGAATCTCCATCAAGAGAAACTGTTTCCATCTTTCCATGATAAGATTGCTTGATCAATTTGCTCAGTAAACTGTTACTTTCTTGATGAATCTACAAAGAGAACAAATGTTTTACATAGGTCTTCCTACTCTTTATAGTATATATCCTGAAATATCTCAAAATAACCATTTAAATAAATCTAATTCCAAATACTACATAAATTACACATTTTAAGTGTGCAAAATAAACCTCCTGCACCCATCATTCAACCAAAATATAGTCGCCAATCATCATCCTGTCTCATGTTAAGCTCAGTTTGGAAAAGAATCACAAAATGAGACCAGAATATTTGAGACTCCCTAATGCACAGGGCACAGATTAAATCAGGATAAAAAAAAATCTGAAACATAAAGAGTGAATCATGGAACAATGGGGGAAACACTTCTAGAAGCTGGGGTGTTAATCATATGGTTGTGGCTGCCATCTTGACTTTTTGAGCACCTAATAGATATATCTGCTGTAAAAATCAGGAGGAAGAAAAAGGAAAACAAACTAAGTACTTTTTAGTACCATACCCTAACATTACTTCTAGCAATTAAGTACATATATTAAGTACATATATTTCTAGCAATTAAGTACATATATTTGGCCAGGTAAGACTATTTGACTGGATTGATATCTCCTGCCAAGCCACATTTTATTTAACTATGGTTTGGGAAATAAATCTGGAGTTTCTTAACAGGTATAGACCTAAGTCAGAATTAAAGAAACTACATGATACTGTTGTGTCATAACAGGCTGCTTCTCTGGCAATCAAAGACTAAGGGATTTGAATTCTATTAACTGCTCAATGTAATATTATTGAGAAGATTTGAGGATGGAGGACCCATTAACCTCTATCAAGCAATTCCAAATCAATTAGTTTCCAATTTATACATTTCTATTTTTAAAAAAAAAACAAACATCTGTAGGACACAACTTCTCTCCCCAGCCCCATGCGGCTCTCCAGCCCTCCCCTTTCCTGAAGTGGCTAAAGCTGCCCTCTCTTTACAAACCTTTCTGAAGGTAGTACAGCTTTAGCTATATGTAGGAAATGTTTGCCAGTGGCTGGGTCTGAAAATGAGAAAGCAAATGCAGTGAAGTGCTGGGCACAACAGGTGAAAGAAAGGTTGGTGGGCAAGAAGGCAGATGGGTAAATGAATGCTTGCTGAGGCTTTCTGGGCATGGCAGCAGCCGCAGAGCTATTAGTTCTGGGGGCGGTTGCCACCCCAGAAGGCAGGGTGTAGGGTAGCCAAAAGAGCAGAGATGGGGAGGGGGGGCGACTCTGTGGTCAGAAGGGCAAGTGGGCTACCAAGTGCTTGACTTCTGATCACGTGACATGGAGGTGCTGCAATTGCTGTAATTTGGGGCACAGGTCGTAAGCCCATTTTTCAGTGCCATCCTAATTTCAAAAAGTCACTGAACAAATGGTCATAAGTCAAGGAATACCTGTAACTGCATTCAGCTTAGGTTTTGATTTGGTTCTGCCTAGTTCTTTCTCCTAATCTTGCCCCTGGTTTTAGGGAGTGCATCCTTTTGCACATCACATCAACTCCTGGTTCGAAAAGGCTGGGCATGCTGAAGTATAGGAAGTATAGCATTCCAGGTCTGTTACTCCGACTCACCCATGTCTGCAGTTCTCCATGCTGAAGGGCTCTTATTACCAATGATAAACACTTCACCAGCTCCTCATGCGAAGCAACGTCTCGGGGGAGAAACGTCAAGTATTAAATAAAGCAGTAGCCAACTCAACGTAGACCAGGTGAATTAATAAAAATCCTTCCCTGGTCCCCTTAAAGACTGAGCATCTCACAATGTTTTGAGAGACAGAATCTAGAAACATACATACTTCTCCATATATTACACCACAGCAATTCAAGGAAATCAAGGTCTCCGCGCTGACTAAAAAGCGTTTTCATGGAATCAATGACTGCAGCAGTGTTATCCTGGAGAACCAGCAAAGGGAAAATGAATTTCAAATTTCAAAATGAAACTGGAATTACTATTTTAGTTATTTAAACATTACAGTTCAAAGAAACTTTACAACATGTATTTACATTAATAAGAAAACTAGAAATAGAATTTTAAAGGTTCAAAATAACAAAGTGCATTAAAAAGCTATGAAGGTGGCAGGAAATATAACACTCTTTTGTCATCAACCCTCCAAGAAAGGGTGATTGACACTTCTAATATAACTTTTCCCATTTCTAGTTAAGTTTAGAGGTGTTGAGTAATTGAATGGCCACTGAACAAGGCAGTTGCTAAACAACAACTATTTGTATCAAATTTGGAAATAGGTTTACCAAAAGGATGCCTATTAGTTTTGCCATTCTAGTTGAGACAAAACTCACTGAAAGCTTCAATATTGAAAGTCTTCAGTTTGTATCCAAGGTAAAATATTATGTCAATCTAGTGTTCTGAGGGAATATTTTTTCCGTTCACTATCTTACCAAATACCTCAGTATCATCTTCATTTTGTGACGTCAGTCCATCTACTACATCTTTTAAATCTAAAAGAAAAAAAATGGCCATCAGCTTTAATGTAATGGAACATACTTTGTTCTCATGCAACTTTGGCTGGAAGGAACATTTCCTGAACACATCAATTCGTGATGACATGGCACACTTGCCTCCATGCCACTTATTGGCTCATATCTGGTGTTTTCCATTTGGGATTAGTGCACTGTGTGAATCCAGCCACTCTAATTTATTCAGCAGACCAAGTGTGCAATGCAAACTCAGCCATTATACATATTTCAGTTAAGACTTCAAGGGAATTATTTCCAAAATGCTTAGCTTTACCTTTCAAAAGTTTCTCTACTAGTTCAACAGCAGACTTTCTTCCCAGTGCCTTCGGCCATTTTATTACTCCATTCTTCAAGGTCTCAGCCAAACTCTAATGCCATCATCCAAAAACAAACAAGTCTAAAGTCATGGCTTGATACAACAGAGTGCAACACACAATGTCATTCGTGGCTATTTAAGACAGGCTGCTGCCTCAGAAGTAGACTGATCCAATTAAGGGGGTTTGCTCTTCAGTAGAATATATTACGTATACTTATGTGCCCAGATGCACACACACACAAAATAAAAATGCTACTGAAATTACCAGGACGTTTAAGTGTTAACACATTAAAAACATTCATTTAAAGCATTTTAACAATTCTACCGTGATTCCATTTCAAAGAGGACTGTCGAGTAAAATCTTGCAATCATCCCTGCTATTACTCAGCTAAGCATTATTTTCTGACTGGGAAATAAAGTTGCAATACTCACCAAGAGAAACTGTAATTCCCTGTTTGGCTCATATACAGAACTCAAGGGGCTCCCAGAGGTCATCTGAAGTGTCTGAAATTTTCAAAAATAAAATGATTCATATCTATATCTCTATCTATCTATAAATATGTGATCCCCTATATATAGGTTCTAGGTCTAGAAAGAATGAATCATTTACTTATATTCATTATTTCTTGAATTGCCTGTTTTGAGATTCGAATGTTATATAACAAGATCATTTGCACACTTCCTCATTTACCCTGTTCACAATTAAATTATTGCTAAATTAGCAGCAACATTTCAGCATCTGTTATTATCACAGTATTGAAACTGTTGATTTCCTTACCAACAGAGCAGAGGATGAGAGGGGAGGGGTCTCCAGCATCATTTTCACACCCTCCCAAGCAAAATCTGCATATATATTTCTCTCCAATGGAATAAGATAATCCTCCTGAGTCGAGGAGTCCAGTGAAGTGGATTCGAGAAAGTCATAACGGGCAAAGCCTGTTATTGTCAGCTACGACACAAGAGAGTTTACAGCTATAGCCAGCCATGCTGAATGACTGTAGCCATGAAAACATTATATTTTATAAATTACCTTAAAATCAGGTTAAGACTACAATAATAAAAACTCCCTAAAAGCCGCACTGAAAACAAAGGCCTCTCTCTGCATTCAGTATATAATGATCCAGCACATATTAAATTCAAAGTTATTGTGCTATGTATTAAAACACTATATACTAAACTCAGAAAATGTTCAATTGCGGTTTGCTTCATTTTTAAAAATTTTAGTATATATTTGGTTGTGAAGAAAAATCAAAATAAACATACATCTGAAGCATGATGTCTCATTCTATGATTTTCTTTCAGTTCTTCCAAGCCAATAGAATAATTATTATTTGAAACAGGACCTAGGGAAAAAAACCGAATGAGGGCTAACTAATTATCAAAGCTTGATAAAAAGCTTTGATTTCATTTTTAAAATCTTCTAATATTAATTCTATTATTCCTATCAGCAGCTAAAATGTAGAAGAATACTGTATCAAAAATTGTAATTAGCAACTAATAACATACCTCAATTAATCTTTAAGTTTGAAGTAGCAGAGAAAAACATATATTCAAAAGCAGAGAGATATTTCCAGAGGCTACTCTAAATAACCAATCCTAATTACATACAGTTTTAGCCCACAACTTCAAGAATAACACTTTGTTTGAATCAATTTGCTAAAACAGGTTTCATTTTAGAAGTACCCGTATTTTTCGGAGTATAAGACGCATCAGACTATAAGACGCACCTTGGTTTAGAGGAGGAAAACAAGAAAAAATTGGGGTTTTTTGCCTCCGTGCATTCCATTTTTGCCCTCCCCAGCATGCAGAAGCACTCTGCAGGCCAAAAACGCAACTGTTTTTGGCTTCTGGAGGCCTCCCTGGGAGGGCAAAAACGGGACCCCCGGAGGCCAAAAACAGGTGGATTGGCCTGGAGACTGATTCTGCATGCCGGGGAGGGCAAAAACAGGACACATGGGTTTGGGAGGGTAAAAATGGGCACGTATTCGCTGTATAAGACGCAAACACATTTGCATCCACTTTTTTTGGGGGGGGGGGGAGTGAATCTTATACTCTGAAAAATACGGTATATACCCTAGATTCTGACTTTTTAAAAAACAGTAGTAGATTTTTCCATTTCTTCTACTCATTGCTGATGGAACCTCCCACCACAGGCCAACACCTTACCACCGCAATCCCAAAGGGCTTTTTCAAAAGGCAACTGGGCTTTGTTTTTCCTTGAAGATGTTTTGTTCCTCATCCAAGAAGCTTCTTCAGTCTTCTCTCTTTCCATCTTCAAGGAAAAACATAGTCCAGTTGCCTTTTGAAAAAGCACCTTTTGGACAACCATGACCTGGATGACTAAGACTCTCCATAGACACTTACCACTGCAATTAACAGTGTGAAGCCTGATTCCCGAAAGGTTATTTCCATTCCTCAAAGGTTCTGCTCCAAGCCAAACTGTCTGTTTTGGGTCAGAAGGTTCACATCGTACCCAGAGCGGAGGAAGCTGCACTGCATGGTTTATTTGTAAATGTTTCATGTTTGGATTTTGTGACATTGTGTAGAAAGAAATCAACTGCCTATCAATGATGAAAAGACATTATATCAGAATGGAAGATTACTAATTACAAAGTATTTGCTGTATTTTAACTTTTACTTTTTTGTATCCCAAAACTTTGTTAACATCAATTTAAAAAGGAAGATAGTGCTTATTCCATTAGGTATGTGAATGCTTATTATATATACACAAACAAAAGGAATCTTATAATTGTCCCTCTTTGAGGAATTATTGGTACAAAATTCTACTCGCTCAAATATTAAAAGTTGATACCATTTTGTAGAAACTAATATACGTTGAATTATAGCTGTTCTGCTAGGCAGTAAAATTATTTTGTGCTTTAGGAAGAATATATATTCTAAAGGATAAAGATTAAAATAATCACACAAACATGCATACCTGGCTTTTGAAAGGGCCAAAGGAGATGTTGATAAATTCTCTTTCAGGAAAGCCTCAGAAACAGAAGACTCACCATTTTGCCATTCTTCCAGACTGCTGGTTTCTTCATATGATCTCTGCAAAAAAGCAGCTGTGCTAGAAAATTTGCTAAGTTCCAGAAAGGTGGAACATATAGAAATAGTCAATTTACTTACCAACTTACCATTTTCTCTACAATAAAAAACCCTCCATTTTGGTCCCAAAGCTTTTCTAAGGGATTTGTATGGCCTTCATTGATCAAATGGACTTGTAGGTCAGTCTGGTAAAAAGAAACAAGTTGTTTCCATAGTACTTTTCTCAATTTAAATTTAAAAATAATTTTACTTACAACACCATATGCTTATGCACTGAAAGTATGGAAGGCAAATTTATAGCAATTTCCATTCATGCACATCCTTTCCTTTGCAGCCTAATCTTACTTCAAAGTAGCAGATGTCATAATTACAGATTTTTCAATAACTTTCTATAGTCTGGGATCTCCTTAGAGGACAGAGGATAAAGACTGTGAAGAATTAAGATGTTTTTCCACCAGACTATATAAGAGTTTTAATGTTGATATATGCATAACTTGGCAATCATGCTTTATAGCAGACTCCAGGATTTATGAATAATCTTTCCCTAGCAAAATAAAATTTATTTAAAGAAAACAACCATAAAGCTATATAAAAATAAGACAAACCAAGCTACAGAGAAAAAAGAAAATAAATCTATATTTCCTTTCATAGAATGTATTCAAATTAATTTGCATCAACAGTCCAAATTTGCAATTTGAATTATACAACGTATCTGTTAAAATGACTTGTCATTTTTATTATTTATTATACTTATATCCTATGTTTCCTTCTGGAGTACAGCTATAGCATTACCTCTCCAAATTTATCCTTACAACAAGAAGGAACATTTCACAGACTTAAAAAATATAAATAAACTTCTTTCAGCATTATATATTTTCCCCTTCTAGAATCTATATCTAACATTAAACTATTTTAAATCTTAGCATTTCTAAACTTCACTACCTTTAACTGCACAACATTTCCTGTAAACTAATACTATGTTTAAAACACTTAATAAACATACCTCAAAAGTAGAAGGGCCAGTTGTATTATTCTGCTTTTTTTCCTCATATACTCTGAAATATAAATAGTGATTTACTTATTTTTTCTGAATACTGGAAACAGATCTCAAAGAGCAAAATGAAATCCTGGTAGAATTTTCAGAATGTAACCACTGCTAAAATGCTGTTTGATATGAGATGTGCCTATATACTAATGTTACTTTTAAAGTCAGTCTACCATGTAGCAACCTAGAACAAAATAAGAAAATTCCATCCATCACCTTCCTGCTTATTACTAGCAGAGGAAAACACAAGACAACTCTACACCATTCTCTTGACTAAATTCCAAAGTATTTGATAACTATAAGCAAAATGGCAACTACATGCACACAGAAGAAAAGAAAGAGCTGAAAGATACTGGAAAAGACAATAAAAAAACAGACCTGCCAACACCAAGAAACGAGTAAAGTAATAACTAGCAGTCAGCACGGGTTTGTTAAAAACAGATCATGCCAAACCAATCTTATTTCATTTTTCAACATAGTGACTAAATTAGTAGACCAGCAAAATACTGTGGACATAATATACTTAGACTTCAGCAAGGCATTCGACAAAGTAGACCACAACCTACTTCTTTGTAAGCTAGAAAAAAGTGGGATAGCTTCACCACCAGATGGATTCGCAAGTGGCTGACAAACTGTACTCACCGAGTAGTCCTTAATGGGTCTAAATCTACATGGAGAGAAGTAAGCAGTGGGGTGCCACAAGGTTCCGTCTTAGGCCCAGTACTCTTCAATATCTTCATAAACGACTTAGATGAGGGAATAGAAGGGGAACTCACCAAATTTGCAAATGATACTAAACTGGCAGGAATAGCTAACACCCTAGAAGATAGGCTCAAGATCCAGATGGATCTTGACAGACTTGAACACTGGGCCCTATCTAACAAAATGAAATTCAATGTAGAGAAAAGTAAAGTCTTACACTTAGGTAAGAAAAACCAAAAGCACACATATAAACTGGGGGAAACCAGGCTTAATAGCATTGACTGTGAGAGGGATCTTGGAGTCTTAGTGGACAATCAGCTAAATGTGAGCTAGCAGTGTGCAGCGGCAACTAAAAAAGCCAATGCAATCCTAAATTGCATTAACAGAGGGATACAATCAAGATCAAGTGAGGTACTAATACCACTCTATAAAGCTCTAGTAAAACTACACCTAGAGTACTGCATCCAGTTTTGGTCACCACACTGTAAAAAAGATGTTGAGACGCTAGAAAACGTGCAGAGGAGAGCAACCAGGATTAGGGGACTGGAGACTAAAACATATGAAGAACAGTTACATGAACTGGGCATGGCTAGTCTAGAGAAGAGAGGGACCAGGGGAGACATGATAGTAGTGTTCCAATATTTGAGCGGCTGCCACAGAGAGGAGGGGGTCAAGCTGTTTTCCAAAGCACCTGAAGGCCAGACAAGGAATAATGGATGGAAACTGACCAAGGAGAAATTCAACCTAGAAATGAGGAGGAACTTTCTGATAGTGAGAACAGCTTGCCTTCAGAAGTTGTGGGAGCTTCATCACTTGAGACTTTCAAGAAAAGATTGGACTGCCATTTGTCAGAAATGATATAGGGTCTCCTGCTTGGGGGGGGGTTGGACTAGATGACCTATAAAGTCCCTTCCAACTCTGTTAATGACAATATGGAAAGACTGATAGCTACCCATAACAGAGCTCTCAATAGTCCTCATTTAGCAACCATTTTGGGAGCAGCAACAAATGAAACCACAACTGTGCTTACGTTCTTACTTCAGGTTCCTTTACTTTACAGACCTGTGAAAGTCATACATATGAGTCGAATAGTTACTTCTTTATCACAGTTGTAACTGTAGTCGCTAAACAAGTCAGTCACCAAATGAGGACTACCAATAAACTATACAGGTTCCAGTCAATATTCACAATGCATCTTGTAAACTACTAACAGTTCTAATATGTCTGTCTACAGATAGACAGATATTAGATTTGCCTAATTCTTCCTGTAACACACAACTTTCCACATGTCTGAGGCTTCTGAAATGCATATTGGATGAGACTAGGTGAAGCTGATCCTTTACTGGGTTTCCTGAGGCTGAAAACTGAAGTCTGAACTATATCTTTATTTAGAAAGATCTGGCAGAATACCTTCCTTCCTTCCTTCCCTTTGTATGCTGCTCATCTCCCCTATAAGATGACTGGTATGGTAGTTTTAATGTTAAAAGACTCACAAGGAATCAAAGTCAAAAGGAGGCAGCTCAGTCTGTCCAAAGAATAGAAAGATGTTTGGGGTTTTGGGGGGGATTTGAGTCAGAGTTGACCCCTGATAACTGTCTGGACTAGACCCTGCAGTTTTCTTAGCAAGATTTTTGGAAATGGTTTCCTTCTGCTTTCTTCTTAAGGTTGACAGAGAGTAACTGGCCCAAGTTCACCAGCTGGATTTTTCTGAGGTGTTTATAAAACTTCCCAGTCTAGTCTATTGCCCTATGATTTCTTGGGAATGTCCCATCCAAGACTAACCCTACTTTTTATGCAACATTCATTTATACATTTCATTCATCCAGACCTTTTAGGATACATATTTGGCCTGTGTGTGTATTTTCTTTAATTGGTTACACTGTGTAAATCTTTCCTTAAATAGTTTTGCCAAGGTACATGTTACATTTTTTTCACAGCCACAGTTGTAATTTGAACTGTGCACGAAGGGGGCATCACTCAAAGCGGATAAATCTAGAAGCAAACCTCCCCCCAAACCTAAGAAAACGGAAAAACAATTAATTTGATATAACTAAATGTAATTAATTACACAATTAATTAATTGAGTTTAGTAGTTATTCTTATGGTATTATTTGTTATTATTTATTGTGAATACATGTGGTGTAAAAAAATTCCCCAAAACAATATGAACAACTTCCATTAAAATCCAAGCAAACATATTCATAAGTTACTGAATATTTGGCCCCTCTCCAATCTTTCTAAATGGGAACAGAATACAGGTAGTCCATGATTTCTAACCATTCGTTTAATGTACATTGGAAATTACAACAGCACTGAAAAAGTTGACTTATTGTTCCCAAATACATCTCCAATGTGTTGGAAATGTAAATCACAAAAGGGGACATACTATCATCTCTGGTGGTCATGCCGAAAGGCGAAACAATACTAGCAAGAAATTAAGAAAATGATTGAAGAAATTATAAAGCAGAAGTTGGAAATGAGGCCAGAAATCTTTTTATTGGGAATAATCACAGCACAATTTACCAAAGAAATAAAATACCTAATTATTCATATCTTAACAGCAGCACGCATACTCTTTGCCCAAAATTGGAAATCTGAGCAATTACCGACAGAAAACAAAATAATCGCAAAAATTACAGAATGCGCAGAAATGGATAGGCTTACAAAGGAATTACAAGAGAAAGATGATACTGATTACTATTTAGTGTGGCAAAGATGGTATAGCTGGCTGGAGGAAAAGATAGGAACATAAAAATAACTTTGAGTACCTAATAGGAAATGTAAAAAACTAAACAAAGAGCGGATTATAATGTTCTATATATAACTATGTAAATATGTAAATATAGATATGTATAGAGAAAGATAAGAAAAAATAGAATAACCCACCGATGTGATAGCTTTAAGAATCAGCCGTAAGACTGATTCGATGTCAGTCTGTTTTGTCTGTTGTTTAAATGTATTTATGTTTGTATTTTTTAATCAATAATTTTTTTTTAAAAAGAAAAAGTTGACTTATGACCATTTTTCACACTTACGACCGTTGCAGTATCCCCATGGTCACATGATCAAAATTTGAGCGATTGGCAAGTGCCTCATATTTATGATGTTTGCAGTGTCTCCAGGTTATGTGATCACCATGACAAGAAATGGGAAAGCCAGATTCATTTAGCAACCATGTTACTAACTTAACAACCATAGTGATTCACTTAACAACTATGGCAAGAATGGTTGTAAAATCTCACTTAACCACCGTCTTGCTTAGCAATGGAAATTTTGGGCACAATTGTGATCATAAGTCGAGGACTACCTGTATAACTCTCTTCTGGTACATTAAAAATACAATTTGGCAGCATTTTTCAAAGAGCCTCTGTACCACATAAGGCTTTGTGTTGCATGGGGTCCTTCCCACTGCATCACACACCTGAAAAATCAGCCTGGAAATATTGGCAATCCACCAGTCAAATGGTATTTGCATACAGGTAGTCTTCATCATATGACCACAATGGAGCCCAAACTTTTCATTGCTAATTGAAGACTGTTGTTAAGTGAGTTTTGACCCATTTTGCAGCCTTTCTTGCCACAGTTGTTAAATGTATCACTGCAAGATCACTGAAGAGCCTTGGTAGTACAGTGGTCTAAAGCACCCTGTTATTAAGACCAGCTGCCTGCAATTACTGCAGGTTCGAATCTCGCCAAGGCTCAAGGTTGACTCAGCCTTCCATCCTTTCTAAGGTAGGTAAATTGAGGACCCAGTTGTGGGGGCAATAAGCTGACTTTGTATAAATATACAAAAAGGATGAAGGCTATTGCTTAGCGCATTGTAAGCCGCCCTGAGTCTCCGGAGAAGGGCAGCATATAAATCAAATAAATAAATTAAAAAAATATTACGTTTGTAACATGGTTGTTAAGTGAATCTGGCTTTCCCACTGACTTTGCTTGTCAGAAGGTCGCAAAAGGGGATCATGTGACTTCCCAGGAAACTGCAACGGTCATAAGTATGCACCAGTTGCCAAGTATCTGAATTTGGATGACATGACCATGGAGATGCTACAAGGGTCATCAGTGTGAAAAAACGGCCATTAGTGTGAAAAAATAAGTGTGAAAAATGGTCACTTTTCCCCAGTGCTGTTGTAACTTCGAACGTCACTAAATGAATTGTTGTAAGACTACCAATATTAGCATTACTGAGAGCTGGAGAGAAACCATCAGGGTCTTCTTTAATTGGTCACACTGTAAACCTTTCCTTAGTTTTGCCAAGGTACGTTTTTTACATTTTTTTCACAGCCTCCACTGAAAGCCCCCACGAATTTCAGTCCATTCCAGTATTTTAATAATAATAATAATATTTAATAATAATAAGATGACTTTGTATAAAAAAGAACACCGCTTGGGGGCCCCCGAAAGCCCTACTAAGCAGGTATATACAAAAGTATGAAGGCTATTGCTTAAAAAGCATTGTAAGCCGCCCTGAGTCTCTGGAGAAAGGCGGCATATAAATCGAACCAATAAATAAATAAATAAATTTTCATGCCCAGCCTTGACAGGACAGAGCCTGGGTTCAAATCTTCCCTCAGAGCTAAACCATGAATGGCAAATACCAATCCAGGAATGATATTATGAGTTGTAAAAATTACAAAATAACTAAATCTGGGTAATTTCAGTTTACTTGATTTTTTTTTTTTTAGTTAGTTGTATGAGGCAAAAGAGCCCCAGCAGAAACCTAAATGCAATTATTTGAATGGCAGACTTTATTTGCAAGAGAATAAAAATGAACTAAATCATAATAATCGTCCTCTTACTGTATTGCAAGGCTAGTAAGGCTCCCTCCTGGTGTTTTTCCCCCTCTCTATTTTTATAAACATCCCTTAAACTGGAGCTCCGTGAACCCTCAGCTCTACCTTTCAAGCCTACCTCGCTGGGTTGTTGTGAGGATAAAGCGGAGAGCTAAAAACCCTAATTTTTTTTAAACAGTCCCAAGATTAGAGGAGCCCACTTACTGCAGGAGGAAGCTGTGGAAGCGGAGGATCTCCTCCTGCCGCCGCCGCGAAGCCATCCGAGCCCCGCCGCCTCAGAGACGGTCAGCTACCCGGGAGCCGCACGCATGCGCAGTCGCTTTCTGTAGCTCGAACTTGCGCGCCAGAACTACTTTCCATCACCCATGGACCCTTGAGGAATCCCTCCGCCGAAGAGAGAAACGCCTGCCGGATCCTTTCTCTCTCCCCCCCCTCCCCCACAGAATATAATCCCGACATCTCCTGAGGAGACTTTAAACGGAGAATGCGGCCGGAAAAGATTTTTTCCTTCATCTTCGCTAGACGAGGACATCAGAACGGAAAGGGACGAAGACGCGGTCGAGCTGCCGGCTGAGGGGCGCTTACTCGGCTCGTAAGGGGCGGGGCCGTGCGCGCGCAAGCGGCAAAAGCCTAGAGCTGCGAGGCGACCTTCCTTTTCCGGTCGGGGCTGAGGCGGAGACGGGCGCCGCGCGAGGGGCTCCTCAGCGGTCTTGAAGGCGCCCATCATGGTGAGGAGGGAAGCGGGCCGGGTGGGGGAAGAAGCCGCGGGAGTCGCTGGAACGCCTCGGCTGACAAGCGGGGAACGAAAGGGGCTCCTCCTGGGGAACGCGGGGAGAGAGGAGGCCGGGCAGGCCGGAGGCCGGCCGGGCAGGCGCCATCTTGGAGTCATGGAGGAGTCGCTGCCGCGTGGAGGCCAAGCAAGCCAAGGCCGAGGCCCGGTCCTCGCCTCGCAGGGAGCCCTCACGCGCTTTTAGGTCGGGGGTGATGGTTGGGAAAGACGGTCGCCCTTCCAAGGAGGCTGCCACGCACCGTGGAGCCTATCCGCGCTCGCTCTACCAACAACAATAATGGAAACGTAGATTCCTGACCATATTAAAGCACGAATCTTGCTGTAACCCCGTGGTGGGTAGTTATGGTAATCTTGACAGTAATAAATAATAATAGTCTTAGGAATGGTTGTAGGAAGGAGGTGAAATTCACGCTTGGGCCTCTTGAAGCAAGTCAGCAGATCGGGGTGTTAAAAGGCCTTTCAGCTGCTCAAGGAGCATTGACTTAGTGTTAGTTGACACACGCACGCACACCATCGAAATGCCGAGCCAGATGGAATCTCCATATTGAGTTACCTCTCAGGTGTAGCATTAAGGCCAAAAATTAGCCACATGCCTTCATTTCAGTTCTTTGTAGTTGCAAGATGAGGGGTAGGCTTGTGGTACCTTGTGTGACTACATAAGTATTGGTATGATCTAAACCAGGGGACTCCAACCTTGGCAACTTTAAGCCTGGCGGACTTCAACTCCCAGAATTCCCCAGCAAAGCAAAGCTGGCTGGGGAATTCTGGGAGTTGAAGTCCGCCAGGCTTAAAGTTGCCAAGGTTGGAGACCTCTGATCGAAACTGTATTACTATGGTCTTATACTAGAGTACATAGATAGATTCCTGGAAATGATTGCAAGTGGGCCTTGTGAAGCAAATTACAAGTTCAATGGCTTGCGGAAGGATTGGGATGGGGTGGTCCTTGTGAGAAATGAAGTAATTCTTCCATTATTATCTTCGTGTTTGGACTATTCAGTGTTAGATAACATCCCCCCCCCACACACACACACCAAGTGTTGAGGTAAATCAAATTTCCATGCTGAGAGGCAGTATAATTCATATTTAACATTAAAGTCAAGATGCACTATGCTGCAGCATGCTGGGTATAGGCGTGCAGAATCCAATGCATTGAACACATGTATTGCTATGATGTTGTAATTTGCGTCCTATCTGGTATTCAGGGACGGTTTGCCTGCTGTCCATAAACTGTTGCCATTGAACTGACGACTCTTCCAAACTGAGCAATAGTTCTATGTTATTGTGCATCAGCAGAATGAGTTGAATTGCAAGCCTAATGTGCCTTTTCCCTCTCCAGGCTTGTACTCGACCATTAGTATCGGTTTACTCCGAAAAGGGAGAGGTTTCAGGTAAAAATGTCACCATGCCTGCTGTATTCAAGGCTCCGATTCGCCCAGACATTGTGAATTTTGTTCACACTAATTTGAGGAAGAACAGCAGGCAGCCCTATGCCGTCAGTGAACTTGCAGGTAAGTTGCAGAAGAGTTGTGTTTTGTAAAATTTGAAAGATGGAAATTCACTGCTTTTCAATATTAAAAGTGATGGCAGTTATCACATCCCAAGCAGTGATGACACTTGATTTGAAATATGCAGTAATCCACTATGAAACATACTTTCTTCAGATGATAACATTAAAAAAAAAAAACATCATGGTGGTTTCATTTAGTTTGAGATTTAAGATAATCCAAAGAGTTATTGGGTTTGAAAATGAGATTCTGCAATAGAAAGCATTTTAGTACCCACAAGAATGGTGAAATTTTACTCTTAGTCTTGAATTTCCCATATTTACATACCACTGCAATCACAAGTCTTTAGATAAAATATAAACTTGCAAAAAATCAAAATAAATTACAGCCACTTACAAAAAAATCAATAATATTTAGAATGGCTCATTATAGATTCATTAGGAAACATGAAGCAGATGTTTGCTTCCAAGCCCTGTTGGAAAAAGTTTGCTTTTATTAATATTACTAGACGATCTGATGTTGGTGCTTAAATCTTCAGGGAAATTACCTAATATCTATAATCTGTGTGGTGAATATATATATTTTTTCTTTTCCCTAGGACACCAGACCAGTGCTGAATCTTGGGGTACTGGAAGGGCAGTTGCTCGTATTCCGAGGGTTCGTGGGGGTGGAACTCATCGATCTGGCCAGGGTGCTTTTGGCAATGTATCCTTCATTACACAAATTATTTGATATGCATAGAAGCTATGCATATCAAACACTGAAGTTCAGTGTTATGATTTAAAATGTTTATATTTTGTTTGATGGAAAGTTCACTTAAAGCCCTTGTAGCATAGAAAACCCAATACCAATTGCTTGTCTTGTTTTGGTTACAAGAAGAGAGGTCCCTTACTTGCAATGATGTTGTAATTTGCGCCTTACTCTGTATTCAGTGACAGTTGCCTGCTGTCATCAGCTGGTGCAGATGATTGATGATCCTTTAACTCTGAGCAAGGTGGAAGAGGGGCTTCCTGCAATAAAAAGACAGTTCCATCCTTGACGCCCGATGCATAGATGTGTCGTGGAGGTCGCATGTTCGCCCCAACCAAAACTTGGCGACGCTGGCACCGCAGAGTGAACGTCACTCAGAAGCGCTATGCCATCTGCTCTGCTCTGGCAGCTTCTGCTCTTCCCGCTCTAGTCATGTCTAAAGGCAAGTATCTTTCTGCAATGGCATTGGTATACAGGGTAAATGTAATTGAACTGAGCATATAAAATAGTATCTAGGGAAGGGTATTAAGTGTTTCACTTACTGCACTTGTATAAATATCCTTATAACCACATCAAGTTCACAATAGATAAAAACATAAAACCTAAAATAATGCTGCAACACAGGAATGATAAAATCAAAAAGCAGAAATTTAAAAGTAATTACAACAAACACAGATATAAATTCCAATATAATAACACTACAAAAACGCTTCAGGGACCTTAATTGAGATGCCTGGGGGTAGGTGCCAAATGAACCCGTAGGGAGAAGGTATTCGACAAGGTCATGAGCACATAAAAACATAGCTTGCTTCCCTTTCAATTAGGATAGAGGTGGCAGTGATCTAAAGCATGCTTAACCAGGATGAGGGTATTGGACAGGCTACTTGCACAGAAGAGGTCATTCTGGAGATAACTAGATCACTCCATTAGTCTTTAAATGTACTCAGAAATTAATTGAAAGTCAACGGAAAAGTCAGGGTAGTAGGTTTTGGGCTTCACTTGCCAACTCTAAACTTTAAATGATGCTTTTGCTATCTTTATGTCAGGTCACCGCATTGAAGAGATTCCAGAACTTCCTCTGGTAGTTGAAGACAAAGTTGAAGGCTACAAAAAAACCAAGGAAGCTGTTCTCCTACTTAAGAAGCTGAAAGCTTGGAATGATATCAAAAAGGTGGGTTGATCATCAATTACAAAGCAGAAGCATTGCTGACTGATGGACAGACTGATTGTTTTATTTGGCTTGAAAAATCTGCTGGCCAGTTCATTACTAGAATTCACTAACTTCAAAGAGGTTAGCATTTAGTACGCAAAGAGAGATACCAAAGACGACTGAGCATACATAATAATCACTGTTGCCTTTGTACATGATGAATTTTTCACTGGTCCGTGTTTCAGATAAACGTTGACGATAGTGAAATTCTGAATTGCTGGGTACAGGATCTGTTTGTTGTGCAATAGTGAAGTAGTGAATTTGAGTTTTTACACAACTGTTTCTGTCCAGGTCTATGCCTCTCAGCGTATGCGGGCAGGCAAAGGTAAAATGAGGAACCGCCGTCGCATCCAGCGCAGGGGACCTTGCATTATCTATAACGAAGACAATGGCGTCATAAAAGCATTCAGGAATATCCCAGGTACTCCCTTCAGTTACCGTCCAGGATTCACAACAAAGTTGTAGGCTGGAAAAGGGCCCTGAATGATGATATTCCACTTCATTGGTCCGTGTTTCTGAAAACACATGATTTGGTGGAAGTTCTGACTTAAGTATCAGGTGGTGGATTTCATTTGAGATGCATTTACTTTCTAAACGTCATGGATTTGAGTTTTAAAAAATAACTTTCTCTTTGTGGGTATGTTTTACATGGAAGGACATCTGGCATTCTCTCCCCTAATAGGAATTACTCTTCTCAATGTGAACAAGCTCAACCTCTTGAGACTCGCTCCTGGTGGCCACGTTGGACGTTTCTGCATCTGGACTGAAAGTGCTTTCCGCAAGTTGGATGACTTATACGGCACTTGGCGCAAGCCTGCCACCCTGAAAAGTAGCTACAAGTGAGTCTGTCTTGGCCTGGTTTTCAGCTTTGCAAACTGGAACACTGAAAGTCCGAACCCAGGCATGTCCAACTCAAGGGGCCTTTGAATGGGGATGACCTCAGTCATTGTTCACCTTTGCTGTTAGCAATAGATTTATATACCGCTTCATTGTGATTTTACAGCATTCTCTAAGCGGCTTACAAAGTGAGCATATTGCCCCCAACAATCTGGGTCTTCATTTTACTTCCATCCAAAGGATGGAAAGCTGAGTCAACCTTCCATCAAATTCCTGGGACTGGGCACTGTCAGCCTGCAAATACTGCATTCTAACCACTGGGCCACCACAGCTCTTTTAGTAATTCATAATATATAGAAATATAGTAGGAGCTGTGCAGTACTTGAGCTTTGAAGGGGAGAGGGGCTTTCTTTAGTGTAATTGACGACACTATAAAGTGTCGGTGTTGCATAGATACACCTGCAGGCTTTAATATCTGAAGTGCCAGAGCCATTCTCTGGATAATCACCTTTGGAGGGGTTTGCACTATAATAGTCTGGGCTTGTTCCACCTCTGTTTCTATTACAAAATGGTAACGTTATATATACCTGCCAATATATATTCCTCCTCGAAAAGAATAATGCATTAATTATATCTTTGTTCTAATCTGTCTTTCAATGCAGTCTGCCAATGCATAAGATGACCAATACTGATCTTGGAAGGATCCTAAAAAGCCAGGAGATCCAGAAGGCCCTACGTCCACCAAAGTACGTATCCAAACCACAGGCTTTTGTTCTCTGGAGGATAAAAGTGTGCTTGTGTTCCCATGAAGATGGAGTTGTGTTGTACTTTTCTGCATGCGACCTCTTCTCCCCAGTATTGGTCCTTGGTAGATACCCTTTATACACACCGAGTGATCCACCAAAGTTGTGTTCACAGTTCTGTGTACCCATCTGTTCTGCAGGAAGAAGATCCGTCGTAGAGTCCTTAAGAAGAATCCACTGAAGAATTTGAGAATCATGGTTAAACTGAACCCATATGCCAAAACTATGAGGCGTAACACTATTCTGCGCCATGCTAAAAATGTGAGTGGCTTGACATTTCTGAAATGTTATTCCAGAACAACTATTTTAAAGGAATAGAAATGACTGAACTGTTTTCTGTTTTTTGATAGCACAAACTCAGAGAGGAAAAGGCAGCGAAAGGAAAAGCGAAGATCCAAGTGGCAGGTGCTGAAAAGAGTGAAAGTACAGCATAAAAAGAGTTTCTACACTTTTATGATTTAATGCTCAAAGTATCTCAATTTACCCATAATAAAAAAAAATATCCAAGGTGGTGGTGTCATTTCATCTTTTATTTGCAGAGAGTAGCATAATTCAGTAGAATGCAAGATAATTAGAAACAGAGCAGCATGACTTGAGCTAAAGGATGCCCTTTGCATGAACATATTCACCTGAGGGTCCAACAACATTAAAAATTAAGCAGATGTTGCAGGAATGGCAGGAGGAGAAAACTGGATTTCATTACCAAGCTGGAATCTCTCCATCACAGCCACAGAAAAGGAATTCTATCAAGATCTCAGGAGAAAAAATGTGGGACCTTTACAAATAGTTTCTGGCTTTTTTTTGTTAATGCTTTTTGTTTCTGCATAAATATCTCTTACTGAAAAATAGAAATTGATAGGAAAAGCAGATTTGCTATTGGTGTATATATTAAATGTGCTATTAACAATGGTACTGTACTTTTGGGGAAAAGGATGCTAGGTTGCCTCAGATTTGGAGGGTGTTTGGCTTTAACGCTTTCTGCTCAGAGATCTCCCAGCTATATAACAAAGTGGATGTGAAGAAATGATGCCTGGGAGTTGAAGGCCTTCTGGGGTCCACCCAGGTGATACCGTTTCTGTGTTGGAGTAGATTTTACAAAATAGGGAATGCATTGTAAACTCACAAATTAACGTAAAGGTCTATAATGACACTTTTCTCTACCAGATTTAAAAATCCTTGCACATACATTCCTTATACCAAAACCTGGCTAAATCAATACAGGAAGATGGGGCCTTTTAATCTCTTGCAGATACTGCAGTGCTTAAATCTCGGCGTATCTGAATCCAGTGTTGTAAACTTTTGCATTCCTGAGCTCCGTTGGGACAGACCGGGCAGCAGGGGGGGCGGGGGAGATGTAGATTTGCGACACGTATTGCTTATTGCTTAGCGCATTGTAAGCCACCCTGAGTCTCCGGAGAAGGGCGGCATATAAATCAAATTAAAAATTAAAAAAAAAATATTGGCAATATGCGAGGATTTATTGATCACATTTGTAAGCTGCCCACCTCCCTCACAAACGCTAGGGTGCTAACAAGCTTTCAAAAAAGCAACCCCGCTCGCGTTTCTTCCCTCGAGGATAACGCCCTGGGCAGAGCGAAAAGGGTCTTTGGCTCCCCTCTGCCGCTAGCCTTTCCGCCCACGTCATTGCTGGCTTTTGCTCCCCTCCCCATTTTGGGGGGGCCGGGGCGGGGCCACATTAAGAGCCTCTCACTTCGGGCCTCGAAACCAGGCACGTGTCTTTTCCTTCCCTCTCTTCCGCCCTGGAGCAAGATGGCGGCTCCCGCCTCCCTCGCCTCTTCTCCCTCCGGCCGGCAAGAGGGCCGTCGCCGGCGACGTCATCCCTGCGCGCGCCCCCCGAGGCGGGGAGGGGAGCAGGATGCTGAGCCGCCTGCAGGAGCTCCGCAAGGAGGAGGAGACGCTGCTGCGGGTCAAGGAGGCGCTGCACGACCAGCTCACCCGCCTCAAGGTGCGCAGGGAGGGAGGGAGGGAGGGAGCGGGGCCAGCCCCCGGGGGAAGGGGGGGTAGCCCCGAACTGCGCACGTGTGGAGGCCCACACGCCTGTCGTACCCCGCCGGGGCGGCATGGGGCGCTGTCACCCCAAAGGCACAGCCTCTGAGCGGGGGGAGGAAGGGAGTCTGCCTCCTCCCAGCGGTCTCTCCCCCCCCCATTGTCCCAAAGGTGCTTTTTTTTCAAGACTTTGTTTTTTTTTCTTTGAAGACGTTTCGCTTCTCCTCCAAGAAGCTTCTTCAACTCTGACTTCCCTTCACCACCATCCAGCCAGAGTTGAAGAAGCTTCTTGGAGGAGAAGCGAAACGTCTTCAAAGGAAAAAAAAAAGCCAAAAAGTCCAGTTGTGTCTGGGGGTGGAGGGGGGGGAAGCACCTTTGGGACATCCTTGACCTGGAGGACTGAAAATCTCCAAAGGTTCCCCCCCCCCCAATTATCTCTAGGTCTGTAAGACCCAAGGCACAGGATAATGGGCATGATAGTCCAATAAATTTGGAAGAGTGCAAGCGGGGGCTTTTGCACCCACACAAAAAAGAGGGGTTGCAGGCAGGGTTGTAACTCAACTTCCCCCAAAAATCCTCCTGAATTTATTTATTTATTGGTTAGATTTATATGCTGCCCTTTTCCGGAGACTCAGGGCGGCTTACAATGCATTAAGCAATAGCCTTCATACTTTTGTATATACCTGCTTAGTAGGGCTTTTTGCCCCCCCTTCCTAAGCAGTGTTCTTTTATATACAAAGTCACAATGCTGGTCCTCATTTTACCTACCTTGAAAGGATGGAAGGCTGAGTCAACCTTGAGCCTGGTGAGAATTGAACTCGCAGTAATTGCAGGCAGCTGGCAGCTAAGTGCTACTTTAACCACAGCAGTTTAGTCCGCTGCGCCACCAAGGCTCTTGAATGGCCTACCTCTCCCCCCCCCCCCAACCCCAGGACCATTTCTTTGTCTGGGGATGATGGGTGTTTTAATCCAAAAGCTATAGGAAATCGGACATAGGAGGTAACAAAGCCTATGTTCCTTGCATGAATGCTTTGTAAAGGCCGGTGTGTCTCAAATTATGGTTCAAGGTCTCATGGGGATCCTTGAAATCAAAATGATTTGCCAGTCTATATAATTCAATATTAAAAATCCCATGAAATATTCTTGGCAAGTGGCAGGGAATGCATCAATTTAAAATTTAGACATGGTAAATATTGATAAATATGCGAACAAAAGCTTATTTGTAATTCTCTATAATTTTTAAAAGTGGGGAGGGGTCCTAAGAGACAAAAGCTTAAGATAGCCTGGTCCAGACCAAAGCAGCCATCCAAGCTGCTCCTTCAACCCCACACCTGCTTTTTGGGTTTATGGGATGGGCCCTTGTTCGGTGGGTGTTTGGCTTTGTGTTGTGCTATTGTTGTTTACCATTTCAGTTGATGTGGCTGTCCATCTCAAGGACTTAACCCCGAGCAGCAGAGAATTGTTATTTTTAACCCAGTTAAGGATTGAGCAATTCTGGAGGAATGAGAACAGAAAATGCATCAAACCATAACGATAAAAGATTTTAAACGTTTTGATAAAGAGAAAAGGCTTGGTCTAGCTTGCTAGACAATCCAAGCAGATTGTTCTGAAGGAGGGCATTTCAAAAATTGAGGGCCATAAATACAGAAACCCATCCTTTGTGCCTGTCCACCTCTCTTCAATTTGTGGAGTTGCTTAGAACAGGGGTCTCCAACCTTGGCAACTTTAAGCTGGTGGACTTCAATTTATTATACAAATTATATATAAATACATACATATATATATATATATATATATATACATATACACTGCTCAAAAAAAATAAAGGGAACACAAGCAGAAGACATCCGAGATCTGAATGAATGAAATAGCTTTATAAATACTTTGTTCGTTACATACAGTAGTTTTGTGTTCCCTTTAGTTGTTTGAGCAGTGTATAAACTACTACTGCTTGTGTTCCCTTTAGTTTTATATATATATATGCTTGTTAATCTGAAAAGGTACATTTTCTGAATTTTGGCTGTCAAAGATTAATATAGCTCTCCTCCGATAGCGGCTTGAGACTTAACACCCTGTTTCTCCCCACGGCGCTCAGGGCCATAAAAGGGCTTAACCAGCCATCTTCCAGGCCTGGTGTTGGCCATGTTGATTTGAATACCACAGGTGCTGGGGAATGCTCAGCCAGCTGTTGGCAAGGTGCTAAGACCCTGGTATGAATGAGAAAGCAAGACCCAGCCATATGCACAAAAGGCTAGCATTATAAATAGACTTCCAGGAATGTGCTTTCCGGAGGGGATTAGCGTTTAAGTCTGACGCTCAGCTCCATTTCCTCTTCTGCAGATTTGCTTACAATTGTTTGGATACCTAAATACTTAGATACCTAGAACTTAAAAGAAGCCCAGCCAGTTTCTAGGCCTCCTGATGTGGCTAGCCTTTGAAATGTGGGGGCAATGCAAGTCTCCCCTTCGTTCTGGGTCTCCCCGAGGCTTGATATTCCATCAAAACAGAGTATTTCTATCACAAAAAATCAAGGGCTTTTTTTTTGTAATTTCCAAAAATGCTTCCCATAATGACAGCCGAAATGGCAGGCTTCACTTGACCAGATTTGACTGCTCCTATGCAGCTCAGCTCATCCCTTTGTTTGCTGGGATAAAATTAGACGGGAGACTTCACGTGTCACCTTAAAATCTAAGAACTGGGCATTTATAAAAGAAAAAATTGTTTGGTTTCTCCTTCTGAAATCAGAAGACTAGACAGCTTCTGTACGACACAAGATGTACAGATTAGTCCTTATCGTACAATCGCTTGTTTAGCAATTTTTTGACAATAGCACTGCAAAAAAGTAAATTATAACTACTCCTCACGCTTAAGGGCCATTGCAGCATTCCCAGTCACATGATCAAAATTCGGGGACTTAGATACAAATTAACTGAGTTGGAAGGGACTTTATAGGTCATCTAGTCCAGCGGTCACCAACTGGTGGTCCGTGGACCACTGGTGGTCCGCGAGAAAATTTTGGTGGTCCGCAGAAAAATTATTTGCATTTTTTATATTGCACTAAATCAGGGAGTCCTCAAACTACAGCCCCTGGGCCGGATACGTGCAATGAACGTTTGTGTTGCTGCAGAGAGTCTCCCCCTTTGGGGTCTTCTTGTGTGGGTTGGAGGGGGGCAGAAATTCCGACTTGGGGTCTGCTTTGGCCTCCTGGTGCGGGGCTTTGGGCAAAGGCTGGAAGGAAGTGCCACTGGTAGCAAAGAGCCGGAGGGCCTCGTTCCAGTGGGACTGAATCATGGCCTGGTACTGGCTGACCATCTCAGTCTGCTGAGCCTCCAGGCACCTGCCTTGCACTCCTGCAGGTCTTCCCTCTGCTTGGAAAGCCTATGCTCGTAGTCCTCAGTGAGGTGCTGAGCCTCCTTCTCGGTCAGATCTAATTTGAACTGAGCTGTTTTGCCAACTCTTTCTCGGGGTGGCTGCTTAGCTCCAATAACTGCTTCCTATTGGGACCCTAAGGAGCCCAGGTGGGCAGGCAAGGAGTGGCTGGGAGGGGAGGGGCGAGTAGAGGCTGGCGAGGCATCTGTCGACGTGAGTGACATCGAGTTGGCCACGCCCACCCAGTCACATGACCACCTTGCCACTCCCACCCAGCTGGTCATTAGGCAGATCATATTAGTGGTCCACAGGATTTTAAATTATGAATTTAGTGGTCCCTGAGGTCCGAAAAGTTGGTGACCTCTGATCTAGTCCAACCCCCCTCCTCAAGCAGGAGACCCTCCATCATTTCTGACCGATGGCAGTCCAGTCTTTTCATCACTCCAGTGATGAAGCTCCCACAACTTCCAAAGGCAACTTCTGTTCCATTGGTTGATTGTTCTCATGTCAGAAAGTTCCTCCTTATTTCTAGGTTGAATCTCTCCTTGATCAGCTTCCATTCACTATTCCTTGTCTGGCCTTCAGGAAAACAGCTTGACCCCCTCCTCTCTGTGGCAGCCCCTCAGATATTCGAACACTGCTATCTGTCTCCCCTGGTCCTTCTCTTCACTAGACTAGCCAGGCCCAGTTCCTGCAACCATTCTTCCTATGTTTTAAATTGGCAACTGGCATGTATTTATGACGGTTGTGGTGTCCCAGGGTCATGAGATAACTATTTATTGACTTTCCCAGTGGCTTCTCTGACAAGCAAAGTTAGTGAGGGGAGCTAGACTCACTTAACAAATGTGTGATTCACTTAACAACTGCAGCAATTCCCTAGATAACCGTAGCAAAAAAGTTGTCAATTCGGGTGCTACTCGCTTAACAATCGTCTTGCTTAGAAATGGAAATTCCGGTCCTTAAATAGAGGACTGCCTGTATTGCAGGAGAGGAATGGCCATTTTCCCCTCCTGGGACATCATTCGGGCTTAGTACTAGGGTCCATAGCCCTTGGCTTGCCAAATTACATTTTCACCTCTAAGCCAGGGGTCTCCAACCTTAGCAACTTTAAGACTTGTGGACTTCAACTCCCAGAATTCCTCAGCCAGCACTGGCTGAGGAATTCTGGGAATTGAAGTCCACAAGTCTTAAAGTTGCCAAGGTTGGAGAGACCTGCTCTAAACCACAAGATTTCACTAAAGGAAGATGGACGGTCCCAAGGACGTTGCTTAACGCTTCTTTCAAGACTGACCATTATTTTCTGTTTCCAGGTGGAAGAGTTGGCTCTTCAGTCCATGATCAACGCCCGGGAAGGGACGGTGTTCACTCCCTCGGCTGCTGTCACGGAGGAGCACGTAAATGTAAGGCTTTTTCACTCCGCTGAAGTAGCTCTCCTGTTTAGAGGCCACAAAGACTGAGTCCCCTTCACAAGGAGAGAAAAGTCGCCTTTGCAGGTCTGGGGCTAATGATTGACAGTTACTGGTTGTAACTGGTCCCTCATTTACCAGAATGCTGACTGAAGGAGATTCCCCCCCTCCCCCATTCTTTCCACTGTTTCTGTCCAAGTAGGTGAACAATATTTCCAAGCAAAGAAACTTGATTTTAAAAACACTCATGGAAGATAGCAATAACACTTAGACTTGTATACCGCTTCACAGTGCTTTACAACCCTCTCTTAAGCGGGTTACAGAGTTAGCCTCTTGCCCCTAGCAATCTGGGCCCTCATTTTACCCACTTTGGAAGGCTGAGTCAACTCTGAGCCTGGTGAGATTTGAACCGCCAAATTGCAGGCAGCCGGCAGTCAGCAGAAGTAGCCTGCAGTACGGCACTCTAACCACTGCGCCACCGTGGCTGAAGATGTCTCATAGATGCTGTTTTCTAAAGGCAGCTGGGCTTTCTTTGTTCTTTCTTGAAGACATTTCGCTTTTGATCGCAATTGGATTTTTTTCCTGAGAGTCATTGAGGCCACTTGGAGGTTTTATCTGCACCCCCAGGGCCACCTGGATAGTGCAGATGGGTGTGTAACCTTCTTGGAACTGTGGAAAGGACTGTGTCGTAAACAGGAGATAGATGATGTCATATCCCTCCCCCTTGTCGAGAGAGGGCTGTTCAGTCTTAATGCAGATGCCTCGTTAACCCCTCTTCCAAACTTTTGAAAGAGTGCTAAGCAGTGGTGGGTTGTTCCCGGTTTAGCCCGGTTCGGCCGAGCCGGTAGCAGTGACACTATTACCTCACCGAACCAGTTCTCTTTCTTCGGGAGCTGGGCCCTCCCGCCCACCCCCCGCATTATTCCGACCTTATATTTCTTCTTTTTTCGCCCAGCTGAGATGTGCAGCAGAGTGGATTGCCGCACCTCAGCTGGGCAGATTCGCAATGCGCTTGCGCGAAGTCCTAATTTGGCTAAAGAGGCGATCGCGCGCAAAACGTGCACACAAAGAGAACCGGTAGTAAATCCGGTTAGAACCCACCACTGGTGCTAAGGACCAGATGACTGCAAGGAATATGAATCCTTCCGTTCTCCAACTTTCTGTCAGAACTGAAGAAGCTTCTTGGATGAGAAGCGAAATGTCTTTGAGGAAAAACAAAGAAAGTCCAGTTGCCTTTAGAAAAAAGCACCTTTGGGACAACCATGACCTAGATGACTGAGGATCTCCGTAGACACTCATGGAAGATACGCTGGATGTAGGCATGACGTCAGAGGTTTACAGCCCTCTGTCACTGTGGAGTGGGGTGGAAAACGCATCAACCACATAGGCAAGAGGAGGAGGACTTTAGAAACTTTTCCCTGGCAGATTCTTCTTACATCTTCTGGCCCAATGTGATTCACTGGGGTTCAGGAAGACAATATTAGAAAGACACGATTCACCCTTTTTACATTTTGTTTGGGAACAAGCATTTTTTTATAATGTAATATCTTGGTGCGTTAATACATGTAAGAATTTATAACATATATATGGAGGGTTTTTTTTTTACCGTTTTACGATGGTTTTGCTGAAAAACCAGCAGTTTCTTCCCATTTTCGACAAAACTGTGCCATAGTGAACACCGGATTCATTTTTTTATTTATTATTATTATTATTTGTCATATTTCTATGCCGCCCACTCTTCGAGGACTCTGGGGGGCTTACAACAATCGATAATATACCAAATAGCATATTGTCCCCAACAATCTGGGTCCTCACTTTACCCACCTCGGAAGGATGGAAGGCTGAGTCGGTGAGATTTGATCCACTGATCTGCTGAACTAGCAGTCAGCTGAAGTAGCTGCGGTACTGCACTCTTAACCACTGCGCCACCTCGGCTATTATTTTGAAATCATAGCGCTCATTTTACGATCACGTTGAACGATCGTTGTGTGAGAAAGGTGGTAAAATCAGGTCACGCGACCCACCTGTTTTACAACCATGACGACATACAACCATAATCGTTAGGCTCCATTACGGTCATATGTCAAGGACTATCTCTGTGTTCCCACCAAGCCCAGCATTTCCTCACCTACTGCAAACGGCATTCAGGATGTTTCTCCACCCCTGACTTATATTTCTCGCCAGGAAGTGACCGGTTTCTTCTTTCTTTGAACAGATGGACAATGAAATGGCCATTAATCAGACTAAACTGCAGTTACAAGTGCATGGTGATGAGGAGGAAGAGGAGGAGGAGGAAGAAGAATCAGATTCCTAGGGCACCAGTGTTGCTGTCAGGCCAGTGTTCCAGGACAGACTTCCGAAGCCTCCCTGGCTTTGATGAAACTCTGTGTGGTGCTACAGAGACTGAGCTCCAACCAGAAATGCCGCTGAGCATCTCACAAACTTCCAAAGGCGGTAATAAATTACGGGGCGGGTTGGAAAAAGGCAGTGTTGAAGCCTAACTATGTAGCACGAGTCATTTTCTAGAGTAGACTTATGTTTCAAAACAAGTAGCAGTTCAGGAAACGAAGCTTTTGAAGCAATAATCTGTCCATGAAACATCTCCTGCCTGGTTGTAAAAAAAAGGAGCTGGGAAGCTGCCCATTCTATGCCAGTTGGTTTTCCTGAACCTCCTATGGATAAATTGCACAAAAGTAGTGAAAAATGTGGGGCTTGTTTTTTCCTGTATGGCTGTATACGACTCCTTTATTCTGGTTGGTTTGGGCCCGTTTTATGAAACTTGTATGGAATAAAAATATATGTTTTGTTTACTATGGGTAATATTAAAAATTCTTTCCTAGTGGGAAGATGGCATGTCGGTCCTTCCAACAGATGTCAAAATGACTCTGTTTGCTTTGCATCGCTGGGGATAAGTTTCCCTCTTCGGGAATTACAAATCACCCCAAAATAGGTTTTGGGGGTTTTTTGGCAGGAAGCACAGATATTTCCCCCCCAGGTTTGACTATCTAAGATACTGCAATGAATTGGCAGCTGTTTGGAAAGTGGCATCCCATATATTGGCACTGATTTTCAGGGAGAAGCAAACCAGCTGCAGCATATCTGGAATGGAATGGGGCACGTTGCAAACTTAAAGGCAGGCACACAAGTGCAAGCGTGGACAACTATGGCAACTGTACGACTTGAGGACTTCCAACTCGCAGAATTCCTGAGCCAGCTATGGAATTCTGGGAGTTGAAGCCCACAGGTTGTAAAGTTGCGATAGCGGCCCACCGCTGTACAAAAGAGAGTATATGTTAGTCACCACCATCCTTAATTTTGTGTGTCCCCCTCCCTTGTGCGTTTCTTCTAGTCTTCCATACTCCACATTGTTGAAAGTGAAGAGCTGCTTCCAAGGTTTCCTATTGGTGACTTGGTACAACTGGTCGCTTAGGGACCATAGGAAGTTACAACAGACCTCTAAAGTGGTTCTTACAAACTGGTTCCAAAGTTATGACCGCCAGCCCCTCCCCCGCAGTCCCCTGACCGCATGTCGGCTGTTCCGTAATTGACCTGCCTTTACGGCTGTTCCCATGGTCACGCAACTGCACTTTACAATGCTTTTGGCCAAAACTCAGTACAGGTAGTCCTTGAGTTATAACAATTGAGCCCAAAATTTATGTTAAGTTAAGCATTTCTTAAGTGAGATTTATTTATTTATTTATTTATTTATTTATTTATTTATTTTGTCGCATTTCTATGCCGCCCAACTCCCAAGGGACTTTTGCCCCATTTTTCTTGCCGCTGTTGTTAAGTGAATCATTGCATTTATTAAATTAGTAACACGGTTGTTCAGTAAATCTGGCTTCCCCATTGACTTTGCTTGGCAAAAAGTCATCACACTACAACCGTCATAAACATGAGTCAGCGGACAAGCGCCTGAATTTTGAGCATGTGACCATGGAGATGCTGCAACCGTCATTAAGTGTGAAAAGTGGTCACAGGTCACTTTTTTCAGGGCCATTGTAACTTCGAACGGTCACTAAACGTACTGGTGTAAGTGGAGGACTACCTGTGGGTATGACAATCCGATTGGGGGCTGGATTACAAGGGGGCAGTAGGGGGAACGCTATGCTTTATGGCATTCGCCGGGTGCTATAGAATCGTTATACCCCATGCTTTAGAGTTCACAATTGTTCTCCATCTGGAGAAGAGAAGAACCCATCAGTCTGGAAGATGGGTTATTATTTATTTATTTATTTATTATTTATTGATTGGCTTGATTTATATGCCGCCCTTTTCTAGAATCTCAGGGCGGCTTACAATGTGTTAAGCAATAGCCTTCATACTTTTGTATATACCTGCTTAGTAGGACTTTTTCCCCCCCCTTCCTAAGCAGTGTTCTTTTTTATACAAAGTCAGCTTATTGCCCCCACAAACCGGGTCCTCATTTTACCTACCTCGAAAGGATGGAAGGCTGAGTCAACCTTGAGCCTGGTGAGATTTGAACTTGCAGTAATTGCAGGCAGCTGGTGCTGTTTAACAGTGCTTTAGTCTGCTGCGCCACCAAGGCTCTTTTATGGGTTATGGAGTATTTGCAGATGGGTTATGGAGTGTCTGCCAATCCTTTTTCCAAAGATCACGCCTGGGAGATCAGAGGCAGAGCTAAATCCAGAAGTTACTTCCTCTCTCCCCCCCCCCCAACCACCCCAAAATGCCACGAAGTCCACCTTAAAAGCCAACCGAGTTTTAAACAGCCGTGTTTTAAAAACCCCACAACTCTCCAACGTGATTTTGTGACATTTATTAAATGGTTAAGATGCGGTTGCTCAACATCTGAAAAGAGTAAAATGATTAAAAGAACGTTTCCAACAACAAACGGATGCACAGATTTCATGATATCTAATAACTTCAGCCATCCTAGAAGGGAAATAAATCCTGATGCCTTTAAAAGAAGAAAAGAGAAAGAGAGAAATGCATTGATTCTGCCAGACAGTTTCCTATCGTCCGTGCTCAACAGACAAGATGCCAAATTAACAGATGGAGGAGATGAATGCCACTAAGACAGTGTTTATTAACCTTAGCCACTTGAAGATGAGTGGACTTCAACTCCCAGAATTCCCCAGCCAGCATAGCTGGCTGGGGAATTCTGGGAGTTGAAGTCCACCCATCTTCAAGTGGCTAAGGTTGAAAAACACTGCGCCAAGCCAGCCCAAAATATCCAACAAGGCAAATAAATAAAAGCATCAACAGGTGTGTTCATACTGACCCAGAAGGGGAGGCCAAAATAAAAAACCCCTAACTCAGGCTGAAGCCCACCAGTTCAGGACCCAGGATTCTTCATGGCTTCCACCTCAGCTTAGTGGCATCAATTCTATGTTGGGGACCGTCTCGTCCAAAGGCACCCCACCGCCCCTAATCGTTCTGACCAGGACTGGCTAAAGCAAAAGCCGGGGGGGAAAAAAAGGGACCACCGAGTTATACACAAGGCTCACGGGACGACGTCTGCAAAGGCTGGGACAGCAACCAGGTCCAGCAAGGTCCCCCCCCCGGTAAGGAAAGACATCCCATCATTCACATTCAACTTTGCAGATTGGCGGCTCGAAGCGTCACATTTGGTCATTAAGAATCAAACACAACAGCTGTTCGCGCAAAAGCCTCAAAAAGGGATTCGACCTGGAAAAGAATTTGGCACGACAAGCTGAAGAAGGCGCAGCACGGAAGCGGGGATGGCGGTGGGGGAACAGCAGAATACTTTTGAGAGTAGGGGGGAGAAAGGGGAGGGGGGGAACCAGAACAGCATGGCTCTAAACAGCGGGAGGTGGCTGGGAACACCAATTGTGCCACACATGCCATGCTCCCCAACCCCCAGTGCGCGTCGATGGGTCTGGAGTGAGCAGTTCCGAGTCGGCCTCCCCGTGGAATGGAAGTTGCATAGCAGCAGCGGCAGCCGGTGGAGTCTTCGTACCGTGTCCAGCGAGCGGGCTCAGAGCCCGCCGACGTGGGTTGGGGTGCTGGGCTGGTTGAGGCCGATGGTGGAGCACAGCCAGCCCGCAAAGTCCACCTCTTCCACTTCCGATCTTTTAATGAAAATGTGGACCTGGCAAGGAGAAAAGACAACAGCAATAGCACTTAGACTTGTGTATCGCTTCAGGGTGCTTTACAGCCCCTCTCTTAAGCGGTTTACAGAGTCGGCCGCTTTGCCCCCAACAATCCGGGTCCTCGTTTTACAGACCTTGGAAGGAGGGAAGGCGGAGTCAACCTCGAGTTGGTCATCCCAAAGGTGTTCTGCCCCAGCTACGGGCCCCAAAGAACGCAGCACACACAAAGTCCGTTCAAACCTTAATTTACTGAATAAACCAGTCTTTTACAACAACGGCTGTTAATTAATTGCATTAACAGCCGCCAAGAATTCAAAGAAGAACAACTGAAAACTTACTATGGTTGGCAGAATGCCCAGAAGCAATTTGCAGGAAGCTGATAAGATAAGCAGGACAAGACAGGAAGGTATGTGAAGGTATGTGAACTAAGTTGTTCCCTGCAAATTGCTTCAGTCGGCATTCCTCCTTAAATAGGCTAAGGGAGTGGCCAATTAGCCCCAAGCCTTACTCTCGAGGAGATCTCCTCCTGTGTGTGTGTGTGTGTGAGAATGAATGGGGCAGCACAGGTTACCAGATATGCCATTACCAGGGGTTTCACAATTAACTCATGCCCTCGTCACCTCTCGTCTGGACTATTGTAACACTCTCTACATGGGGCTCCCCTTGAGGTGCACTCGGAGGCTCCAACTGGCGCAGAGTGTGGCCGCGCGGGTGGTAATGGGAGCGACATGGAGTTCCCAGGTAACACCTCTCCTGCGCGAGCTGCACTGGCTCCCGGTGGTCTTCCGAGTGCGCTTCAAGGTTCTGGTTATCACCTTTAAAGCCTCCATGGCTTAGGACCTGGTTATCTACGGGACCGCCTGCTACCACCAATAGCCTCCCACCGGCCAGTACGCTCCCATAGAGAGGGGCTCCTCCGGGTGCCGTCGGCCAAACAATGTCGACTGGCGGCCCCCAGGGGGAGAGCCTTCTCTGTGGGGGCACCTACGATCTGGAACGAGCTCCCCCTGGAGATACGGAGGATCCCGGATCTGCACACCTTCCGTCGCGCGCTTAAGACTTTTTTATTTCATCAAGCTGGCCTGGCCTAAATCTTCTCCCCTTTTAAATATAAATTTTAATTTGTTTTAAATTATGGGGTATTTTAAATTCAGCCAAATTATTTAATTTGTTTTTTAATCTATTTTAAATTTTTGTATTTATGTGTTTTATCTTGTGGCTGTTCACCGCCCTGAGTCTTTCGGGAGAAGGGCAGTATAGAAATTTAATAATAAATAAATAAAAAACTCAGGCTTAGATAAATGGAAAGCATTTATACAATGCCCTAAATCCACCCCAACCAAATCAGGATTAAAAGCAACCCCATTTGGAAGTCGTGTATGTTGACTTTCTAAGTCTTTAATGAAACCACTTTAGCATGTTAATGAAACCAGTAGATTCCAAGGGGAGGAACCTTGCAATATGCATCTTTCAAAAAAACCCAGGAAGAATTCACTCACCATAAGCTGTTTTAGATCTGCTCTCTCAGCCGGATTCTTGATCAAGCTGTCAAAAAGGAGAAGTTATACATTGCAGCTGATGTACGGGAGCCCAACACACCCACACAAACACACCCACACCCTGAGTATGGTTGTTGTATATGTTAAATTGGAGGCCTGTAGTTCTGGATTCCATGCAAAAGCTGAATGAATGACAAGCCAAAATACGAAGCTTAAATGCACGGTCCAGCTTTCATTATGGTCACAGACCAGAATAAAATTCAAACTTTAAAATAAAACAAATGGCAGAGGAAGAAGACATAATAGTGTATTATAATTAGGGATGAGATCATTGATAGGTGGCCAAAATCTGCCTAATTTTACAGATAAATTCAGCAAAATTTAACTATGTTCAAAGAAACTATCATACTGATCTGATGTACCTAAAAGTGATCAGAAGTTCTTGGATATTTTGATGATGATTATATATATATATATATATATATATATATATATATATATATATATATGTATATGTATATGTATATGTATATGTATATGTATATGTATATGTATATGTATATGTATATGGCAGGGGTGAAATCTACTTTCCTTACCAGTTCGGAAGTGCACACGCCACACATGCGCGCGCAGACCCTCTGGGCATGCTCAAAACCTGCGTATGCGCAGACGGTAAAAAACACATTACTTCCTGGTTAAAACCAGGAAGTAATGACACCCGGGCGGAGCCTCACGCTGCCATCGCTACCGGTTCTCTGAACCACCTGCTACAATTGCTACCGGATCACCCGATCCAGTCCGAACCGGGAACATTTCACCCCTGATAGATGGGCACAATCTCAGCTCAAGTCATGGTCAATAATTCCCACATTTTATTTGAATGAAATAGCATCGGTTCTGGATTCTGCCCTGGCCACATTGCTGGAGTGTGCATCCCAGCACATCACTCAAAAACAATTGAATGACAAAAAAATAAATAAATCTTGAAAATCATGTGCCATCATGTTAAATTGTGAGCAAGTGTGGTCCAGAAGAGCAGAAATGGGCCTCGTTTTATTAGTTACCAAAATGCCTTTTCAGAGAGACGACCTCCCCACTGCATTTTCATTGACACCAAAAGGAAAGAGTCTGGAGACCGAACTCACCATTTGTTCACAAAGTCTTGGAATTCTGGACTGAAGACTCTGCTTGGCAGCTTTGGAGGGGGCTGAAAGCAACCGAGGGGGTCAAAGATGAAAAGAGAAACGATCTTACAACTCCGGGCATTTCTTCATTGCATTTTTAATCCCGCCTTTATTACTCTATAAGTTATCTCAAGACAGCGAATGTACCTAATAGTCCTTCAATTTTCTCCACAACAACAACTCTGTGAGGTAGGTTGGGCTGATTTAAAAGGGACTGGCGCAACGTCACCCACCTAAGGCGGGACTAGAACTCTCCATCTCCTGGTATCAAGGCCAGCACCTTAACCACTAGGCCAAATGGTCGGTCTGTCTCTTTCTTTCAATCTATCTATATTCTCTACCTGCAACTGCAGGAGTCACAATTATGTCAATCTTTCATGACTGTTGATTATTTAGATGCTGCTCCATTTTCAAAAACTCTCAGTTTTCCAAATGCCGTAGGGTAGGGTAGGGTAGAGTAGAATAGAACAGAACAGACAGAACAGAACAGAACAGAACAGAACAGAACAGAACAGAACAGAATAGATAATGGAATGGAATGGAATGGAATAAGAACAAGAAGGTTGACTCAGCCTTCCATCCTTTCGAGGTAGGTAAAATGAGGACCCGGTTTGTGGGGGCAATAAGCTGACTTTGTATAAAAAAGAACACCACTGGGGGGGGTGTCGAAAGCCCTACTAAGCAGGTATATACAAAAAGTATGAAGGCTATTGCTTAAGGCATTGTAAGTCGCTCTGAGTCTCCGGAGAAGGGCGGCATATAAATCGAACCAATAAATAAATAATAAAAAAAGAAGAAAAATGAGAAGAAAATTAGGAATAGAATAGAATAGAATAGATAATGGAATAGAATAGAATGGAATGGAATAGAATAGAATAACTGTCACTTTGAATGTACACTAATTGGCATATATTAAAAATGAAATTTCGTTACAGCTCTTAAAGGGTCACTACCTCCAATTTTACCCAACATAAACATGACCAGATAAATAAATAAATACAAAATTATGTATACACCCACATGTATTATATGACACAGAGAAACAACACTGTCTAGTTATACGTGCTTATGGTGAAAAAACCAGTCTTGTGAGTACCAGACGGCTGGCATAGGGAACAAAGCTGTCACAGAATCTGTTAGTCCTGCTAGAAATACTACTAAAAATTAGGAAAAATGTGGGAACTAAATGAAGTCAACCGGAAGCATGTCCTTGAGGAAAGATGCAAGAGATTCGCATGTGCTACACCAAGAGGGAGAACAGTTACATCTGCCTCTATTCAGCGGAGTGGGGCCAACAAACCATCTTGGTTTAAAACTCCTTTTCGCATCCCAGCATCAGCTGCCTCTGAAGCCTGCAATGACTGACTTTAACGTTGCCACAGAAACGGGCATTGCAGCTCATGCGCCTGTTAGAAGAGTAGCACTTTCAGCCAGACTGGGAAAGGCTGCTTCACTTTCAGATGCACCCCTAAAATACCGTTTTTTGCATATCTGGTCTTGCTAAGATCTTGGGTGAGACTGTCTATCTCACGTTGTGAGATTTTTGGGAGAACATCCCAGCCATCGCCTGAACCTCCTCGGGGGTTCTGAGCACTGCAGAATGGAAGGGGCCCTGGAGGCCATTGTTCTGATCCAGCTCCCCAAACACAACAAATCCTCTGAAATGAACTAAAAAGATTCCTTTACTAGGAGCGCCAGCAGCCCCAGCAAAAAGTTTCTCTCTCACCGCAGGCTAACAAGTCTGTCCGGCTGGAAGATGAATAGTTGTCTGCCACGTCTATTCATCTCCGCCCCCTGCCTTTTATCCCCGGAGCTAGAGTGGGGATTCGCTAGCAGCGGTGGCTCTTAGGTCCCAAGGACCGGCCCATAGATTTCCACTGCTCTCCTCTCCTCTGCCTTCTGCGTATCAGGCACAGGACCCAGCTGTTTCTCCTCTTCCTCATCAACCACCTCCAGCCCTGGGGCTGTTGACTCTCCATCTGAGGGCTGACGGATGGCCCAGGGTCCGCCTCTGTCTCTCTCTCTGACAGCTCCACTCCCTCTTCCCCCTCGGAGCTCTCAGGTTGCCTTGACGCTGACCCTGACTCTCATGCTGCCGCCTCATCTGATTCGGCTGCTAGAGGGGCCAGCGGCCAACAGACCACACCAGTCATCTATCCAGGGCAGTAGTCCATTACGACAGCATGATTCCGAGATGCTTCTTACGACAGCAAAAGCCCCTCCGCTCGCAGAAGGCCCACTATTCCACTCACCTCATTGACAATGTAGTCCAGGAGCTCAAAGATGGCCATAGGAGGTCGGCTGTCTGAACCGTAGGCTGAAAAATGACAACAATTAATTTCACTCTTTGGCGTACAGCTTATTTTTCATTCTTTTCTGATGAGACTTATTTGTCTCCAAAATTCATTCAGTGGCATGTCTTGAAATTCGTTCCAGAAATGCTGATGAAGATAGCGTAGGTTTTGTCAGCGAATGTTTGATTAAAAACAAAATGTTTTTCAAACTCAACAACCTTGAGATGTGTGGACTTCAACCCCCAGAATTCCCCAGCCAGCATACATAGACCAAGTGCGGTGTAGTGTTTAAGGTGCTGGCCAGGGGTGAAATCTACTTACCTTCCGTACCAGTTCAGAAGTGCACGCACCGCACAGACATTCTGTGCAAGCGCAAAACCTTCTGTGCATGTGCAGAGGGTAAAAAACACATTACTTCCTGGTTAAAACCAGGAAGTAACGACATCTGGGCGGGTGGGCGCAGCTTCGCGCTGCCATCGCTACTGGTTCTCTGAACCACCCGCCACGATCGCTACCGGATCGCCCAATCCAGTCTGAACCGGGAGCATTTCACCCCTGGTGCTGGCCCAGAAACGAGGAGACTTAAGTTCCAGTCCAGCCTTCGGCATGAAAGCTGGCTGGGTGGCTTTGGGTCAGTCCAACCCATCTCACAGGCTTATTGTTGTGGGCAAAATAGGAGGGGAAAGTTGTGTTGGATATGTTTGCCACTTTGAACTATTTATAAAAATAATAAAGGCAAGACGAATGAATGAATGCTGACATGAGAATACTGGGAATTGAAGTCCACAAAACATCTTTAACTAGCCAAGTTTGAAAATCCATGGCCTAGGCTGTCAGGAAATCTTGGCACTGTAACCAAGCAGGGACTTCCTGAGTGAAAGCAAAGCCTTGGTAGAAGCAGGTATGGGCAGTGGGAAGAAATGGCCCCTTCTCTGAAGATGTTTCTGCAGAGCTGAAGACCAAGCTCCTAGCCCCAGTCCATGCTGGAAGGATCGAGTTGCTTTGGCATGGCCTGCGCTGCCTGTGCCCACCCATCCCAACCCAACTGCCATAACACGTCCACACCCACTCACTTTCCTAAAAACCCCAGTCACAACCGCATTCCCTTCTCAAAGGAGCAATCCGTTTTCAGCCCCCAAGGTGGCATTGCCAGTTTGTGCCCTCTTACCGCTCATAGGCCGGCCTGGTGTTCTCTGCCGAGGAGACGTCTCCGAGACAGGATAGTCGGCCCCGACCGGACAGCCGAACATCAGCTCCAGCTCCTTGGCATCGGGCGGAGGGATGGGGTACCTGCCGATGGCCATCTCAACCAGGGAGAGCCCCATGCTCCAGATGTCCGACTGCACCGAGTAGTGAGTCCCTTGCAGTCTCTCTGGCTGGGGAAACAAAAAGACAGAATGAGTCACAACGGTGGGAAAACGTGAATCGTGCAGCAGCCAAAAGCCCGTCCAGTCACAGCATGGAAAGGATGATGGAGGAAGAAAAATTGACAGTGTGAAACTAGATTCCACCTCTTCAAACCTTTACTTTTTTTGGCCAGGGTGTGGATTCAAGAGTTTGAAAATGGTCCATATAACATTTTAGTTTTGATTAATTCCTTTGGGGCATTAACACCTGCAGCCTTTAAGAAACTGCTCAGAGGGAGCCTTTTTGGATCAAGGCTGGTTATGAGACGAGGAGTCTTATATTAGTAAGTTGGTAACACATATCAGACCAATCATGCTTCTGTTGGATACAGTGCCATCAGATTGGTGTCAACTCTGGGCAACCATAGAGGTAGACCTTCTCCAAACTCATCTGTCCCCATCTTGATCCTTCAGGCCTTCTAGCTATCATCAGGTCAACCCTGAAACTGGTCTGACAGAGGCCATTTTGAGACTTCAGTGCTGACACACCAGAGAAGAGGGATAGGGAGGGGAGAATAGAGATAGTTTGGGGTGTTGTAGCCAAAACAAAATACTTTCTCGTAGGAACTAAGGACATTCCTGCAGGTGCTCAGAAGGAGGGGCCTGGAGTCACCTAGCAACTGGACAGTATCCTGATTGGACCCTGTGACTGATTGTTTTGAGAAAGTGACACTTTCACTTTTAATTACCTGGTTATTTACGGGACCGCCTGCTACCACCAATAGCCTCCCACCGGCCAGTACGCTCCCATAGAGAGGGGCTCCTCCGGGTGCCGTCGGCCAAACAATGTCGGCTGTCGGCCCCTAGGGGGAGAGCCTTCTCTGTGGGGGCACCTACTATCTAGAACGAGCTCCCCCCGGAGATACGGAAGATCCCGGATCTGCGTACCTTCCACCGTGCGCTTAAGACTTTTCTATTTTATCAAGCTGGCCTGGCCTAAATCTTCCCCCTTTTAATGTGGAAATTTTAAATTTGTTTTAATTATAGGGTTATGGGTAAGATGTTTTAAATTGGGGAGCCATTTCAGATTTAATTTTGTTTTAAATGTATTTTAATGTTTATATTGTATGTTTTTTAATCTGGCTGTTCACCGCCCTGAGTCCTTGGGGAGAGGGGGGCGGTATAAAAATTTAATAATAATAATAATAAATAATAATTAATAATAATAATTAATAATTAATAATTAATAATTAATAATTAATAATTAATAATAATTAATAATAATAATAATAATAATAATAATAATAATAATAATAATAATAATAATGTGGAAAACTGCAGGAAAAGTCAGAGTCGGTTTTCCACCAGCCTGTGCCAATATGACATATCCAATAAACCTATTCTTTGAGGAAATTGCCTGCCTCAAGAGTTTTGTTTGCTATGGGTATGTTACTTGAAACCCTGACACATCACTGTAATTAAGTCCATCCACCTTGTTGCTGGCTGTTTTCTTTTTCTTTCCTTCTACCTTTCGTTGCATTATAGGCTTCTCCATAAGGTGTCCAAACTAAGATCATTTCAGTCTGGTTATTTATGCCTTGAGTGAGAATCTTGGGTTGATTTGTTCTACGATCCATTGTTGCTTTTCTTAGCCCAGGGGTCAGCAACCTGCGGCTCTGGAGCCGCATGTGGCTCTTTCATCCCTCTGCTGCGGCTCCCTGTTGCTGGTCGGCTCCACATTTGATAGGGCTTTTGGTTAGGACAGGTAGAGGAAAAAGGATGCTGCGCTAGGAGGAGACTCTATGGGGGGGGGGAACGGACTTCCAGTCAGCAGAGGAAACACTGCGCTAGGAGGAGACTATGATGGGGAAACCGGACTTCCAGTCGGCTCCAGAATTGAATGGGGACTTCCGGTTAGGACCTTTGTGACTCTTTGAGTGTTTAAGGTTGCCGACCCCTGTTTTAGCCTATCCAAGACTCCTTAATCCACCAGGCTGAAATTTCCTATGAAGCTTCCTTCAATTCCTCCATTGAAAAACCAGGGGGACCTTTCAGCACTCTGAGAATCTTTGGCCCTTCTGGACACCTCCAAGGATCATTCAGTGGGGGGAAATGGTGGTTGGTGGCAGCCTAGTGCTTTGATTAGAAATAGGCCCCCAATTTCTGCCCTCCCGAAGGGAATTTGCAGGGGAACAGGAAGCACCCTTGTTATGTGTTTCTTTTGACGGCCCATGCCCACTAGGGCAGCTGATTTGTGGGAAGGCTAGATTCCAGATGTACATCTCCAGATGTACAACCAACCCAAGAAGCTCTGGATTTCAGCCCCAATTTTACTCCTTCAACATGACTGAAACTCCCCAAAAGAAATATCATAGAATCCTAGCACTGGAAGGGACGTTGGATGTCTTGTAGTCCAACTGCTTGCCCAAGACAGTAGTTCTTATTAATTGCAAACCTCCAGTGATTAAGCACCCACAACTCCAGGAGGGAAGCTGTTCCACTGATTAAATCTTCTCACTGTCAGGAAATTTCCCCTTACTTCTAGGTTGTATCTCTTTAATGAACTTCCACCTATTACTTCTGGGCCTGCCTTCTGGTGCTTTGGAGCAGGGCTCTCCAACCTTGGCAACTTTAAGACTTGTGGACTTCAACTCTCAGAATTTTGCTGGCTGAGGAATTCTGGGAGTTGAAGTCCACAAGTCTTAAAGTTGCTAAGGTTGGAGAGCCCTGCTTTGGAGAATAGGTCGACCATCTCCCCGTGACAGCCCATCAAGTAGTGGAAGATGGCTATCATGTCTCCCCTACGTCTTCTCTTTGTTAGGCTAAAGAGCCTTGGTAGTACAGGGGTTTAAGGCACCCTGTTATTAAGCTGGTTATTAAGATCAGCTGCCTGCAATTACTGCAGGGTTCGAATCTCTCCAAGGCTCAAGGTTGACTCAGCCTTCCATCCTTTCTAAGGTAGGTGAAATGAGGACCCAGATTGTGGGGGCAATAAGCTGACTTTGTATAAATATACAAAAGGATGAGGGCTATTGCTGAGCACATTGTAAGCCGCCCTGAGTCTCCGGAGAAGGGCGGCATATAAATCAAATTAAAAAAAATAATAATAAAAAAAAAAAAGCAACATCTCTCATCCTCTGCCTCAAACAACAGCCCTGGGCAGAAATGAGAGGGCACCCTTAACGTTGTACATTCCTGTGCAAAACACTTGTGCGCTTTGCAGGCAAGGAAACAACAAGAGATGGATCGCTACACTGATCGGCTGTTGTTATGTCTGAACTCGACTATTCATCTATTTCATGGCCTGCACTTACCGACATGTAAGATCGCGTGCCCACGAAAGAGTTGGCCATGGAATCAATCAGTTGTCCACTGACCCCAAAATCGCAAAGTTTGATTTCCCCTCTCGAGTTTACCAAGATATTTGAGGGCTTCACATCTGGAGGGAGAGACGAGGAAGAGGGAGTGGGGGTGGGGGGGAAGAAAAAAATGGAGAATACTTCAAATACTTTAGCTCTGGGACAGCTATTCCTGTTGGCAGCGCATGACATCGTAAAATCCATCCATGCGTTCTCGATTGTAGTGCCGGACCAATATTCAAACCCTTAATATAAAAAGGAGTAACCCATCACATATACAGGTGTGGTCCTCAACTTACAACCACATTTGAACCCGAAATTTCTGTTGCTAAGCGAGACAGTTGTTAAGTGAGTTTTGCCCCATTTTACGACCTTTCTGGCCACAGTTGTTCAGTGAATCATTGCAGCTGTTAAGGGTAACAGAATTATTAAACAAACTTGGTTTCCTCATTAACTTTGCTTGTCCGACAGTCGTAAAAGGGGATCATATCGGGTGAAATGCTCCCGGTTTGGACCGGATCACCCGATCTGGTAGCGAAGGAGGCGGGTTGGGGTCTCCAACCTTGGCCACTTTAAGACTTGTGGACTTCAACTCCCAGAGTTCCTCAGCCAGCTCTTTGTTCTAGAGACCTCTGAGAGTGGAGAAGAGGCATGGAACTCATTTAAAGGCACAGGAACAGCCACTGAAAGCCATTAACATATTAACATATGGGATATGGAGAAAAGTATAGCCAATAAAATTATTGGAAACAGATTTGGGGGTTTTAGAAAACCAGTAAGTTCCTTTCATCTTCCATCTCAGTCGGCGTTCCATTCTAAAGGTGGTTACTGGATTAAATAGATGATCCCACCTCACTCTATTATTATAGCCCCCCACAGAATAACAGAGTTGGAAGGGACTTTGGAGGTCTTCTAGTCCAACCCTCTGCTCAATCTGGAGACCCTATATACCATTTTAGACAAAGGGCTGTCCAATCTCTTTGTAAAATCCTCCAGTGATGGAGCACCTACAACTTCTGGAGGAAAGCCGTTCCCCCACTTAATTGCTCCCACTGTCAGAAAATTTGTCCTTAGTTCTAGGTTGCGTCCCTCTTTGATAATCTTCCACCCGTTACTTATCTTTGCTGTTTCTTTGTTAATTGTACTGTATTTTTTTTTAAATTTGATTTATATGCCGCCCTTCTCCGGAGACTCAGGGTGGCTTACAGTGCGTTAAGCAATAGCCTTCATACTTTTGTATATTTTATACAAAGTCAGCTTATTGCCCCCACAAACTGGGTCCTCATTTCACCTACCTTAGAAAGGATGGAAGGCTGAGTCAACCTTGAGCCTGGCAAGATTCGAACTTACTTTAATTGCAGGCAGCTGGTGTTAAATTACAGTGCCTTGTCTGCAGAGCTATCCAGGCTCTATTTATCATCTTACTGTTTAACCTTTTATACAACATTGTTTGATCAGACTGTAAGCTGCCCAGAGCAAATAGAGGGGGAAGACATAGAGGTAGTGACAGATTTTATTTTCCTGGGCTCCAAGATCACTGCAGATGGGGACTGCAGCCAAGAAATTAAAAATTCGGACTGGTTCGATAGAACCGGTAGTAAAACTGTTGGGAGGCTCCGCCCACTGACCCTGACGTCATCATAAGTGATCTGCGCATGAGGAACTCTGCGGGCACAATATGAACTGATAGTAAAGGTAAGTAGAACCCACCCCTGCTGATGACTGTTTTTCACACCACAATTTCAGCATCCCCAGAGTCACGTGATCAAAATTCAGATGCATGGCAACTGATTCATATTTATGACGGTTGCAGCATCCCTGGGTCCACGTGATCCCCCCTTTTGCCACCTTCTGACAAGCAAAGTCAAGGGGGAAGCCAGATTCACTTAACAACCGTGCTACTAACTTAACAACTGCAGTGATTCACTTAACAACGGTGGCAAGAAAGGTCGTAAAATTGAGCAAAGCTCATGGAACAACTGTCTTGCTTAGCAATATTAATTGTGATCATAAGTCAAGGACTACCTGTATGCCAAAACCCAGCTGTTGTCGGTATCCAAAAAGCAACAGCCAGCGCTGTCTGGCAGAAATATTTCCAGAGTCTCTACAAGCCACTCTTATGGAACAAGCCAGGATCCACCTTTGGCTAGGTCTCCTGCTCATCTGAATGGGCTTCTTCCATCTGAAGTAAATCAGCAGAATCAGAATCTTCTTCCTGCAACATCTCGACCTCTTTGGAGAACCACCGGATTGCCGGGCAGGTGAGGACATGATGGGATGCTCCTCTTCCCCGCGAGAAGGCTGTTGGTAACCAGGCAACGGCTTCTCCACCAAGACTGAAGCCTTGCAAACAGCCCCCTTTCCCCCTCCTCCCTCCCTCCCTCCCGTGGGCGTAGGACACCACTCAGCAGAGCACAGCACTTATCCAGTCATTAGCCCTGCATTAAGGCTCCCGGAGAAAAAGCAATCCCATCTGCGATTCATCCCACCCGGGCAGGCAGAGAGGAGGAGGAGGGGACCGAGTTCGAGGAAAGCAGGCATCAAGCAGTGGGAAAGAGCTGCTTGCTGCTTCCACTTGAGGACGCAAAGTGCCTTAAAAACCACAAGAACGGATAGATTAGATAGATGGATAGATGGATAGATAGATGGATGGATGGATAGATTAGATAGATGGATAGATAGATAAATAGATGGATGGACGGACGGACAGACAGAATAATAAATAAATAAATAAATAAATAAATAAATAAATAAATAAATAAATAAATAAATTCATCCATCCATCCATCCATCCATCCATCCATCCATCCATCCATCCATCCCTGGGCTGTGGTTTCACCCCTTCTTAAAAGGTAAAGGTTCCCCTCGCACATATGTGCTAGTCATTCCCGACTCTAGGGGGCGGTGCTCATCTCCGTTTCAAAGCTGAAGAGCCAGCAGTGCCCGAAGATGTCTCCGTGGTCATGTGGCCGGCATGACTCAACACCAAAGGTTCACGGAACACTGTTTCCTTCCCACCAAAGGTGGTCCCTATTTTTCTACTTGCATTTTTTTAACGTGCTTTCGAATTGCTAGGTTGGCAGAAACTGGGACAAGTCACGGGAGCTCACCCCGTTACGCGGCACTAGGGACTCGAACCGCTGAACTGCCGACCTTTCGATCGACAAGCTCAGCATCTTAGCCACTGAGCCGTCACGTTCCTTATTATTCACCCCTTCTTACCTATCCCTAAAGAAAAGGCCATTCAGAGCAACGGTGGATGGTTGTGTTTCATTTAGGCGTAGCATCTTATGGGACCCTCACAGGGGAACATAGAAGAACTCCTCCCCCCACCCCTCCTTTTCCCTGAATTGTTGTAAACAAAAATCAAAATAAATCCAACAGTGAAGAAAGTAAAATGGCTGCTGAAGAGCAGGTGTGTTGCTGCCATTTAAAAATGGGTGGAAATCACGGAGGCTTGGAGGGAAGAGCAGAAAAGAGCTTTGAAGTTTTCATATTCTTTGGCACCAAAGCGACATCCGGTTCTGGCACATTGTTTCTCACGGCTTCGTCAGTCTCCTTTTTCTCAGCTGTATTTTCCATCTTGTATTTTTCTCTGAACTCAGGTATTGATTTCCGCCACCTGAGTGTCCAATAATGACTAGCAGGAACAAGCCGGTAGATGTGAGAATATCGAGCGAATCGACTTGTCCAAATGGCATTATTTGCCCCTGGGGAGCTGTGACGGGTTCGTGCTGGGGCACAACCCCCCCACTCCTCGCTCCTCTGCAGGAAGCCAACATAAGAGCCTTGGTGGTGCAGTGGACTAAACTACTGTTAAAGGTAGTATTTAGCTGCCAGCTGCCTGCAATTACTGCGAGTTCAATTCTCACCAGGCTCAAGGTTGACTCAGCCTTCCATCCTTCCGAGGTAGGTAAAATGAGGACCCGGTTTGTGGGGGCAATAAGCTGACTTTGTATAAAAAAAAGAACACTGCTTGGGGGGGGGGCGAAAGCCCTACTAAGCAGGTATATACAAAAGTATGAAGGCTATTGCTTAACGCATTGTAAGCCGCCCTGAGTCTCCGGAGAAGGGCGGCATATAAATCGAACTAATAAATAAATAATAATAAATAAATGGCAAACCTCACACGATACAGGCATCCTAGGTAGAAAGTGGTCTGAAACTCGGTGCCTAAGATGCTTTTTTTAAAATCAAGTTTTATTAGGTTTCCCCCCCACCCGACACATACCCACATATTTTATGAAACAGAGTATTGACCATATCATATCATATCATATACAATTTGTCGTATCCAAATATATTTTAGTTACAATTTCTGCCAAAGTATTCTTTTTCCGCATTTTTTAATCAAATCTTAATGTTTCTATTCTTGTTTATATAAACAGTATCTTCTTTCGCCCTCAAATTCTATTTTCTCAATTTTTAATCATATATATTCTCGTTTAATTTTTAATAATTCATTCTTTATCCTAGTTTATTTAAACATGTTCGGAGATGCTTTTCTTCCATTTCATCTTTTTTGTTTTACAGCAATCTTTCTTTCTCTTTCTCTTCCTCTCCCTCCCTTCTTTTATCCTTCCTACCTAAGGTGAAGCTTTTTCAAACCTCTCAAAATACAGATAGTCATTGACTTATGACCACAATTGTGCCCCAAATTTCTGTTGTTAAGAGAGACAGTTGTTAAGTGAGTTTTGTCCCATTTTACGACCTTCCTTACCGCAGTTGTTAAGTGAACCACTGCAGTTGATAATTTAGTAACATGGTTGTTAAGTGAATCTGGCTTCCCCATTGATTTTGCTTTATCAAATGGTCACTAAAGGTGATCATGTGACCTTGGGGCACAGCAATGGTCATAAGTATGAACCGATTGACAAACATCTGAATTTTGATCACATGATCATAGGGATGCTACAAAGGTTGTAAGTGTGAAAAATGGGCATGTCACTTTTTTCAGGGCTGTTGTAACTGAATGGTCATTAAATGAACAGTTCTAAGTCAAGGACTTACCTGTACAGGTAGTCCTCGATTTATGACTGGCTGCTTAACAACCATGCAAAGTTACACCAAATTTTTAAAAAAGTACTTACAACCAGGGGTGAAATGCTCCCGGTTCGGACCGGATCGCCTGATCTGGTAGCGATGGTGGCGGGTGGTTCGGAGAACCGGTAGCAAAAATCCCTGCCCCCCCCATTGCCCAGCTGAGCCGCGCGATCCTCAGAGGCTTATTTTTACTTTTAAAAGCATTTTTTCTACAACCTCTTCAGCTGAAAAAATGCTTTTAAAAGTAAAAAAAAAAAGCCTCTGATGATTGTGTGGGATCAGCTGGGATCGTCAGAGGCTTTTAAAAGCATTTTTTTCTACAACCTCTTTGGCAGAAGAGGTTGTAGAAAAATGGTTTTAAAAGTTAAAAAAAAAAAAAAGTTGGCCATGCCCACCCAGTCACATTACCCACCCACCCACCAAGCCACACCCACAGAACCGGTAGTAACAAATTTTACATTTCACCCCTGCTTACAACCTATCCTCAAAGTTACAAACTGCTGCACCCCTCCCAAAGTCATGTGATTGCATTTTGGGCACTTGGCAAATGCCTCGCATTTACAACAGTGTCCTGCAATGATCTCATCATGACTTGCCATGGTTTTTGTCATTTCCTGGCAAAAAATGGCAAAAAACGCCCATTAGCTGTGCTGGATTCACTTTAAGTGCTTCACTCAGCGACCATGGGATTCCATAGTGACTTGTTTTGCAACAATTGTACAGACAATCGTAAAACTGAGTCTGGTCACCTGAAAACTCGAATTATGACAATAAGTTACGTCTGAAATTCTGAGTTCATTGTGGCCATAAGTCAAGGACTACTTTTATTCCCCGGGTTTCAAGCCAGGGGAATGCAGCAGCCTTGATGGGACTACTCCCCAGGTGATTTGCAAGGGGGGGGGCGTATGTGGGGGGGGAGGGATGTCAGGCCCTTTGGGGTAGAGCCAAGGGTGCTTTTTTCAAGAGGCAACTGGACTTCCTTGTTTTTCTTTGAAGACGTTTCGCTTCTCATCCAAGAAGCTTCTTCAGCTCTGACTGGATGGTGGAGAATGGAAGGATTTATACTCCTTGGAGACAGGTGGTCATTTGCATCCTTTTAGAGTTGTTGAGGCCGCTTGGAGGTTTGTCTGTGTCCTCAGGGTCACCTGAGTGGTGCAAATGGGTATGGAGCCTTCTTGGAACTGCTGAACGGACTGTGTTGTAGACTGGAGATAGATGTTCTGCCCCAGCTCTGGATTTCCAAGGATTGTGACACACACCAACGGTCTTTATCAAAGTTATAACATACTAAGAATAAAGAAAGTCCGGCAAAGGTTGGCAACCAGCCCAGAAGACAAGATACGATAAGATACTCACTCTCCAAGATGCTCTGTAATAATTACACGTTGTTTCCAGCAAGAAATTGCTAACTGCGTGTGACTTAAATAGGCTAAGGGAGTGGCCAATTATCCTCAAGCCCTACTCTCGAGGAGACTTCCTCCTCCTGAGTAGCCACTCCTGCCTTTTGGCAGCCCTGTGTGCTCGAGCATTGAGAAGAGGCTCCTCCACTTCACTCTCTCCACTTGAAGGAGCCTCTGGAGGTTCTGAAGGCCCTGGCTGAGTCTCTGCCTCTGCCACCACATCCTCTTCAGCCTCCTCGCTGCCCAACGCGAGCGCCGGCTGCACTGGCTGCTGGCGCGACACCACACCAGCCTCCTCTTCATCGGGATCAGCCACGATCCGCGCAGGCCGCTGGCGGGCCACAACAATAGATGATGTTGTATCCCTCCCCCTCTGTTAAGAGAAGGCTGTTCAATTTTGACATAGATGGCCTCTTTGACCCCTCTTTCAAACCAGTGATCCTCTCTGTCCAAAATATGAACTTTGTTGTCTTCAAAAGAGTGGCCTTTGTCTTTTAAATGCAGCTGTCTGCAAGGAGTATCAATCCTTCCCTTCCCCACCATCCAATCCGAGCTGAAGAAGCTTCTGGGATGAGAAGCAAAACGTCTTCAAAGAAAAACCGGAAAGTCCAGTTGCCTCTTGGGGGAAAAAAAGCACCTTTGGGACAACCTGGATGACTCCATAGACCTTTGGGATAGGGTTCCAGTTTTGTAGTCACAGCTGCAAACCTGATTTTCTTGACATTTCTATCTCCCACCTACGGTCCCTGCTTGCAATTTTTAGCAAAACACGTCTAGTGAAGAAAATCTGGCTGCGTTGAGGACCAGCTCGAAGGAAAGATAAATCACCTACCTCTGTGCATGATCTTATGCTTTTCTCTCAAATATGTTAGACCTTTTATGACCTGTGAATCAAAACAAGGCGCTCATTGCAACAAGCAAACAATGAACAACATGCAACATTCGAAGGAACGTAACCATATTCCGCCTTAATAGAAGGGAGGGGGAAACACCCCAGCCTAACAGGTATCCTGCTCCGGTTTACTGTTCCTCAGAAATTTTTATGGCCGTGCCATGCTTCAACAACTATTTCAGACACAGATCTCTTTAAAGCAGCCACCTCTTTGCTGCAGACGACACAGCTGCCCTCCACAAACTTGGAAGCTATTAGTATAACAGCTGAATGGAAAACTGCTCCTGACCTTCTACCGCTGCACTATAGAGAGTATTTTAACTTACTGCACCTGTGTATGGTTTGCCAATTGCACAGTGGCAGACAGGACAGCGCTCCAGAGGGTTAACGTCATTGCCCAGAGGATCATTGGCTGCCCTCTTCCCTCTTTGGAAGGGCTTGATAGCTCCCGCTGCCTTAAGAAAGTTCCAAACATTCTTAAAGATCCATCTCATCCTGGGCACCCTTTTTTTTTTTTGAACTATTACCATCTGGCAGACGGTACAGGATAATAAAAAGAAGGACAAATAGGCTGAAAACCAACTTCTATCCCAGGGCAGTAACTATATTGAATTCTACCATATAGTGCAATCTTAATGCAGTATCAGGGGTTTTCAATTCAATTGTATAGAATGTGAAGGATGTGTGTTTGTGTTTTATTTTTTATAGCTTTCTTATGTATGATGTACACTGAAGATGGCATTTAATTTTGTTGTATGAGGTACAATGACAATAAACTAAACTATTATTATTATTATTATTATTATTATTATTATTATAGAACTAATACCAATGTAATGAATATTGTTATAAACACTTTATTTCCTAAAAATATTTGTACCCAGACAAGACACTGTTTAACTAAAAATTGAAATTTTATGTTATATTTTTTTTAAAAAATGATAAAAAATTTATTATTTTAGACACAATCTCTTTAGAGCAGCTACCTCTTTGCTGCAAACGACACAGCTGCCCTTCATAAACTTGGAAGCGACCTTTTTCAACTGAATCTAAAGCACTGCAGAGTTATGGTTGGATTATGGAATCTGGATTCCCAAGACAAACTGTCAAAATTAACTTTTTCTTGATAGAATCTTCCAATTTGATGCAGGCACACCCAGGTACTTGTTATCATTTTCTCCAAGCCCACTATTTTTTTTTGTGTGTGTAAATAAAAGAAGAAAAATTCTTTGCAGCTCAACCAAGCACAGGAGCAATTTCCATGAGGCAGGTTAACGTTTCTCAGCTTTGTCCATTTTAAGATGCATGGACTTTGACTCCCAGGATTCCCTAGGCAGCATTGCTAGCTGGGGAATCCTGGGAGTTGAAGTCCACGCATCTTAACGGTGACAAAGTTGAGGGACATTGAGGCAGGTCATCTACGTTGTCTTAAAATTTTAGGAAAACTGGAAAGCGGGGGTTTTTTGGGTGGGGGGGGGTTTCAGCAGATTATGACAGATGGAAAGCAGAAAGAGAGGCACACAGATTTTTCACTTATTTTTTTCTGTTTTTCTCTCTATGTGACCCCAATCTATATTGTGTGCCAAGGAACGGAGAGCTGTTATTAAACACCATCGGCTTCAACTTCTGGCAATAGCACCCACAAATGTTCACCCATCTGGATCGGTCTTTCGTAATAATTCACAGCTCTTCCAAAGGCAAGTGAGTCATTTCTTTGCGAGAGATGCAGGACCCAGCTAATGTGTTCCCGGGGGATGGAGAAATAGAGGCTGTTACATGATTTACAATTCCTGGGGGGGGGGAGTGTTAAGGGGAGAAACATCCCTGATTTTGCCTCTTGCATAGTCAGCCTTATTTGAGGCCTTCATTTTGAAAAGAAAAGACAGAAGAAAAAGGAAGAAGGGAGGAGGTGGAGGAGGAGGAGAAAGGAATAAGAAGAGAGGAGGAGGTAGAAGGAAGAAGGAAGAAAAGGAAAGAAGGAGGAAGGAAAAAGGAAGAGAGGAGGAGGAACAAAGAAGGGAGAAGGAAAAAAGGAAGAAGAAGGTAGAAGAGGAGGAGAAGGAAAGAAGAAGAAAGGAAGAAGAGGAGGAAAGAATAAGATGGAAGAGGAAGGAAGAAATGAGGAGGAAGGAAGAAGGCAGGGAGAAGGAGGAATGAGGAGAGGGTGAGAAAGGAAGAAGAGAAGGAGGATGAAGAAGGAGAAAGGGAGGAGGAGGAAAAGGAAAGAAGGAAGAAGAGAAGAGGGAGAAGGAAGGAAGGAAGAAGAAGCGGAGGAGGAAGAATTCCATGTCTTGTTGCCTTAAAAATGTTCTCAGTGCTCTCTCCCTTCTGGACCTCCACCTGGTGACATTAACCATGTTGGCATCTGTCTTTTCACATGCCCAAATGACATACTTACTGCAATGCTGACTTTGCCGAGAATCTTCTCCGGAATTCTGCCAGCCTTCTTCAAGACTTGATCCAAGGATCCACCGTCCTATTAAGAAATGTTCAAGCAGAGAGTGTCAGGGTGGCAATTAAGAATGTGGAAGAAAGAATGTGGACATGTGCAGTAGCTTAGTGATAAGAGTCAGATCAATCTACCATAAGTCTCAGAATGGGAGCCCAGCTGACAAATACAAAAAATGATGCAATTTGCAGGAAACAACTTCGTTCAAATTCCTTCGCGTCTTGATTCCAGAAAACGTTTGATTTGGCTCTTGTTTCTCTCGTCAGTTTTCCTGCAAATTGCTTCTGGGCATTCTGCCAACCACAGTAAAATTATGGTTATCTGAAATACTGTGCCTCAGAACTGAGTTATTATTCTTTGAATTCTTGTCGGCTGTTAAATGAAGTTAAATTAACAGCCCTTGTTCAGAAAAGACTGATTTAAACTGTACTTGTGTTCGAACAACTACTAAGAAAGCTGATTAGTAGTCTTTAATTAGTAAATTAAGGTTTGTACGGACTGTGTGTGTGCTGCGTTCTTTGGGGTCCGTAGCTGGGGCAGAACAATATCTCACTCTCTGGCTTGCTCGCCCTGCCCATGCTGCCCAGCTGATTTCCGTGCCTCGCCCGCTCTACACACCGCAGCTGCCCGAGAAGGTGTGCGGGAAGCCATGCGCATGAAATTGCAAGTTCGGAAGGCGCTTTCTCTCGCAAAACGCACATGCGCTCACATTTTCGGTTCTGCACTAGGCAAACCGGTTTTTAAATTGTGTGAAGCCCACGTCTGCATGCAACACAACATCACCCAACCCACCAAGACAGGGACCGTTACCAAAGCAATTTATTTTAAAGCAACCGAACAGGGGAAGATAACCAGGAGGAGAAAGGGAAAAATTATCCAGGGAGCTTTTACAGGCAAAAATTTCAGTTCCAGCTTTGCCTTATTGTAACCACTTGGCTTTTACCCTGTTTCCCCCAAAATAAGACCTCCCCTGATAATAAGCCCAATCGGGCTTTTGAGCGCATGCGCTAAAATAAGCCTCCCCCCCAAAATAAGCCCTCCCCGAAAATATTTAAACGCAGAGCTGGAAATGAGGTAAGATAGCAAGAGGAGCCCCATCTTGTTTCACGCGCCCCAAAATAATAAGACCTCCCCAAAAATAAGGCCAGGCGCTTATTTCGGGGTTCAAAAAAATATAAGACAGGGTCTTATTTTTGGGGAAACACGGTAGTAAAAGAATTCCTTTACAACTGGAGTTGGGACTCTTTCTTTCTTAGAAGACCAAGTTGGGACCCATCCGACTCAAATGGCTGTCCAGTCTTTTCTCGAAAACCTCCAGTATTGGAGAACCCACCACTTCTGGAGGCAGGTTTTCAGGCAGACTTTGAGCATGGAAGCCATTCCACCAAAATACTGTGGCAAAAAAAAAAAAAATTAAGGTTCTGCACTGCCAAAGGGAAAGTGAGATGCCCAATTGCAAAGTAAGTGGTATTTGGCTCAGAAATGGTATTTGTGAGAAAGGTCTAAGTGTCAGATTAAGCATGGACCAGCAGTGTCCTGCAGCTGCCGAAAAAGACAAGGCAGTTTTGGGCTGCACCCATAGAAATATAGCTTCAGATCACAGGAAGAGCTAGCAAGCATTCCATGCTACACAGGTCTGAAATTGTCAAGTGCCAGGAAAATCAGGAGATTCAGACAGCTCAATTGGGTATAAAGATTTATTGAGCTCTCTACAAGAATCTGAACTACTAATGGTAAAAGGAAATTAGCAGGAGATAAGAAGGAATTCAAGGTGGGCTGGACTTAAGATATCTTGTGGGCACGCAGGGACTCATGACTGATGATGTGTTTGTTTATTTATTTATTTATTGGTTCGATTTATGTGCCGCCCTTCTCCGGAGACTCAGGGCGGCTTACAATGCGTTAAGCAATAGCCTTCATACTTTTGTATATACCTGCTTAGTAGGGCTTTTTTGCCCCCCCCCAATGGTGTTCTATTTTATACAAAGTCAGCTTATTGCCCCCACAAACCGGGTCCTCATTTTACCTACCTCAAAAGGATGGAAGGCTGAGTCAACCTTGAGCCTGGTGTTTGATCTCTCCCTCCCTCCCTCGGAGCCTGATCATCTCCCACGGAAATAATGAGTTCAGTATTAGTTGCTTACCATACAAGAAGGAAGCTGAGCAACTGGATAGAGTAAAGAGAGCAGCAACAAAGATGATGAAGAACTGGGAGACTAGATCACATGAAGGAATTGGGGTGTATGCAGTCAGAAGAAAGTGAAGAGCAGATATAAAACCATTCTTTCAATACGAGGGGTCCTTGGTGCTCTCTGAGCTTGGAGGTTTTCTTACAGACATTTCATTACCCAACTAGGTAACATTATCAGTGCTAATGGGTTTTGCAGAGTGGATTAAGAGGAGGAGGAGGACGACTGTGGGGTCCTTAGTGCTCTCCAAGCTCGGTTGTTTCCTTCCAATGTTTCATTACCCAACTAGGTAACATCATCAGTGCTAGTCTACTCTTCCGATACTTGGAAGATTGTCAAGAAACAGGTGTAGAATAGGTGTTACCTTTCTCCTCGCATCACACAAACTAGATCTCCTCTGGACCATCCTTCCCTCTCTTCCATCTCTTGATGGTTCTTTCCCCAAAAGTCTCTATTTGCTGTGAATTCAAAACTAAATTTCCACCCCGTAAGGAATATTAGCAGCCCAATGGGGGAAGATGAGTTAAAAGCTCTGTTTGGGCATGAAAGAACCTCTGTAGCAAACATGGCTCAAAAAAAAAAAGAAGAAGAAGAAGAAGAAGCAGAAATCAAAAGCTATTTTTTTGTTGATTTTTTTTCCCTTGCAGAGCCCCAAAGCGATTTCTTCCCCACATATAGAATTGTTCCGTCTCTCTTCAAGAGTGAGGCAAGGAGGGGGCACAACTGACCCCCAAGCACAGAAACAGAGCTCTAACGTGGGAGAGGGGGGGGGCTCCATCTGGCCAGACCAAGGCTGACAGATGTCCAAAATAAAGTGAGATTTTTGTTTCTATGAGCAGGAATGCAAACATTAAAAAAAAAAAGAAAAAATGAACAGGAAGGTGGGAGTAGAAGGGAACAAGAAATATTGCCTGCAATGAAATAGAGGCAAACTCAGTCAGTTTCCCAGTTCAGTGTTTCTCAACCTTAGCAACTTTTAAGATATGTGGACTTCAACCCCCAGAGTTTATGTTGAAATCCATGTTTTAAAGTTGTTCATTGGATTATTATACATTGCCCAGAATTGCATTGCTAAAGCTGGCAGCCATAAGAAGGTTTTAAATCAGGGAGGGAGGGAGGAAGGATGGATGGATGGGTGGATGAGAAAGGAAGGAAAATAGAGGGATGGAAAGATAGATTGGGGGAGGGAGGAGGAAAATAGAAGGATGGATGAGAAAGGAAGGAAGGAAGGAAAGAAAATAGAGGGAGGGAGGCAAAATGGAAGAATGGACGGATAGATGGATGGGTGAGGAAGGAAGGAAGGAAGGAAGGAAGGAAGGAAGGAAGGAAGGAAAATAGACGGAGGGAGGGAATATAGAAAGATGGATGGATGGTTGAGGAAGGAAGGAAGGAAAATGGATGGAGGGATGAGAAAGGAAGGAAAACAGAGGAAGGAAGGAAAATAGAGGGATGGATGGATGGAGGAAGGAAGGAAGGGACTTCTGACTCTGCTCCTCCAACCAACCTCTCTACCTAGCCCTTGATGACTCAAGCATCACAGGGCCCCAAGCAGCCCCCCAAGCAAAGAGGGTCACTTACCATGTGCTCCATGCAAATACTGATCTCGCCGTCACTGTAAAAGGCTCCGTAAAACCCCACAATGTAGGGGGAGTTGCATTCGTGCAGGACCTGGAGCTCCCGAATGATCTGGTTGCGAATTGCCGGCTTGATCTCGAGATGAATCAACTGCCAAAAGAACCAGCCACTGTGGGTTTGCCCCTCGGCTCCTTCCATGACTTCCAAAGCCCAGACCATCTGGCTGCCTGCAGAGGACTCAAGGGCGAGGCCTCTCATCTGAGCCCCCGTTCTGATCTTTACTGGGCTGTGCCCACAAGCCGCCCCTCAAAAGTGCCTGTGTCGTCTTTCATTTACCAAGGAAGAAGACATTTCATCGTTCCTTGCCTGCCTATAAGAGGCGGAATCGTCGTGCAAAGCCATCGTTTAACCAGACCCAGTTTTATGACAATTTTTCCCCAGGGTCATTAAGCGAATCACGTGGCTGTTAAATGAACCACATGGTTCATTAAGCAAATCCGTCTTTCCCAGTTGGCTTTGTTTGTCAGAAGCCATCTGGGAAGGTCCCCGAATCACATTTGCAGGACCAAAGACACCGCAAACCCTCACAGCTGCAAATCTGGGTTGCCAGAATTACAATCACGGGGGGGGGGGGGGGGGGGGGGGGGGGGGGTGCAACAGTCCTTAACTTCAAGGACAGGTTTGCAAGTCACTTTGAAGGCTGATATAACTTTGAACCATCCTTCAATGAAGAGTGGTAAGTCAAGGACTGCCTGGACCCCATTTGAATCTCTTACCTACCTGAGCTCATTATGGAAGGAAAAGAAAGATTTTGATACAACAAGCCAGCAGGTGACTCATTTGTTAATTATGTCAAGAGTTTCTTATGCCTGGGACATGAGCTGCCCCCCTGACCCCACTGGATGGAATCGCCAGGACCCGCTGCCTTAGCAGAGTGAGGAAAATCCTCAGGGACGATTCACACCCTGGTCAGCACTTCTTTACTCTCCTACCATCGGGCAGGAGATATAGAACAGGGGTCTCCAACCTTGGTAACTGGCGGACTTCAACTTCTGGGAGTTGAAGTCCACAAGTCTTAAAGCGGCCAAGTTTGAAGACCTCTGGAATAAAGACTGCTCCTGCCCGGTTTTAAAAAGGGGGGTTGTTTTACTCATGAGTAAGTGCTCACGAGTAATGAGTGAGTCATTGCTTGCAAAGGCTGAATCAGAACACTGGTAACTGGAGGGACATCAGTGCTCAGGACGTCACATTGTCCACCTCCGATGAATGACTTCTACAAATGGCATCCGATTGAGTAAACCACGCTCAGAAATGGCTTAGCGAGACACACGAACTTTGCCAGTCACGAAACTCACCTTCCTGGCCATGATGAGTCCAGAAGGCTTGTGTGAGACTTTGAAGACCACGCCACCATTGCCTGCGCCCAGCTCACTGATCTTCTCGAAGTCATCGTCCTTCAGTTCTCCCACTTTTTGCTTCTGGGTTAAAAAGGCCTCCAGCCGTTTCCTCTGCTGCTCATCGAGTTCCAACTCCTCCAATTTTTTCTGCAGGGCTTCCAAATTGGTCCTGTGGGGCCCAGGTGAGAGAAGGGAGAAACTCCTATTAAAGATACGGGAGCCGAGACCTCCAGGCATTGCTCTTCTCCCTCAAGATACAGAAAACTTGCAAGGAAAGAGGAAGAGTTTTGATGCACATTAGAGCAAAACTGCCTTGTTGTTTCTGCTGTCACCTGCTACCCTTACCAATTTTTATGGTGTTTGTGTCTTGCCTTTTGTCTGGAAGCCCCCCTGTAATAGGAGGAGTGGCGGGATCTGGGGGTGGAGTCAAAAGAGGTCTAAGCCTAGAATCCCAACGTAGCCACAAGTGAGCCAAGTCCAACGACTCTTGAATTTCGTAGACCCTTATCTTAACTCCAAGCAGGTGCAAACCATGAGCTGAGAAGATTCCTATGCATAAGCTGTTTAGCAATAAATCAGTTTAACGGGACCTTCACAGTTAGGTACCCTGTTTCCCTCCAAAATAAGACATGCCCTGATAATAAGCCCAATCGGGCTTTTGAGCGCATGGCAATAAGGACAAACGCTTATTTCAGGGTTCAAAAAAATAAGACAGGGTCTTATTTTGGGGGAAACACGGTAGATCTGATCTTTTTCTCTTGACATCCCCCTACAAAGAGCTCTCTCCTAGTTTTATTGCCCAACCACCCTGTGAGTAAATTGGGCCACAAGACAGCATGGTCCCTATGCATCCCAGGGAACTCTACACCTACTAAAGAAGAGGTGAAAGCTGCAAGACCTTCAGATCCCATAATACACCTCCCAAGATTTTGTTGGGAAGGGAAGGACCAAATCCACATTCTATGAAATGGATGTTTAGTGACTGGCAGCCATCTTGTGAGAGGGCTCCACTTCTGTTCTCAACGTTCCAGGTATGTCCCTATTCACACACCTGTATTTTTCCTGCCTCTGTTCCTCCCTGCTGCACAGATGGAACACCTTATGGGACACCCATCCAGCAGAAATATTATCAATATATTTACGGGACCGCCTACTACCACAAGCAGCCTCCCACCGGCCGGTATGCTCTCATAGAGAGAGGCTCCTCTGGGTGCCGTCAGCTAAACAATGTCGACTGGCGGCCCCCAGGGGGAGGGCCTTCTCTGTGGGGGCATCCACTATCTGGAACGAGCTCCCCCCAGAGATACGTAGGATCCCGGATCTGCGCACTTTCCGCCGTGCTCTTAAGACTCTCCTATTCCAGCAAGCCAGCCTGGCCTAATTTTCTCCCATGTTTTAAAATTCTTTTAAATCGAAATTTTAATCTGTTTTAAATTATTGGGATTTTTAATTGTCTCGGGCTAAATTATTTAATCTGGTTTTAACTATGTTCTTAACTTTTGTATCTGTGTATTTTATTTTGTGCCTGTTCACCGCCCTGAGTCCTTCGGGAGTAGGGCAGTATATAAATCTAATAAAACAAACAAACAAACAAACCACATAAGCATGATTAATTAACTTTCAAACCGAAGACGTTTTCCATCCTCTGGCATTCATTGATTCAGCACAGCTGTCTTGTTCCCAGTGAGCAATCATTTCCCCTACAGAAAATATTCTGAGATCCCATTTGCAGCAAACAGATAGTACTTTCCATCCTGCCGAGATGTTTTAAGCACTCAATGGAACCAAATTTGCAAGCCATTACGCAACCATTCACACTTTGCATGGACGCTCCTCACTTCTTCATCATTTCTCTCCTCTCAATAAAAACAAACAGCTTCACAAGAAGAGGACATGAGATGCTGCCCCTCTTGATCTAAAGCAGGGGTGAAATTCAGCAGGTTCTGGAGAACCAGTAGCGGAAATTTTGAGCAGTTTGGAGAAATGGCAAATACCACCTCTGGCTGGCCCGAGTGGGGTGGGAATGGGGATTTTGCGGTATCCTTCCCTGGAGTGGGGTGGGAATGGAAATTTTGCAATATCCTTCCCCAGAAGTAGGGAGGGAATGGGATTTTGCAGTATCCTTCCCCTGGAGTGGGGTGAGAATGGAGATTTTGCAATATCCTTCCCCTGGGAGGGAATGGGGATTTTGCAGTGGAGGGGGTGGAATGGAGATTTTGCAATATCCTTCCCCCAGAAGTAGGGAGGGAATGGAGATTTTGCATATCCTTCCCTGGAGTTGGGGTGGGAATGGAGATTTTGCAATATCCTTCCCCCAGAAGTAGGGTGGGAATGGAGATTTTGCAGTATCCTTCCCCTGCCACACCACGCCCACAAAGCCATGCCCCACAAAGTCACGCCCACAGAACTGGTAGTAAAAAAAATTGGATTTCACCGCTGATCTAAAGGTCCATCATTTCTTAGATCCCCCCCACTTTCCCCCCTCCAAATGTGGCGACCGTAAGGTATGAGGACTTCGTTTCCCAGAATTCCATGCTGGCTGGGGAATTATGGGAGTTGAAGTCCACACATCTTAAAGTTGCTCAGGCTAACAAACACTGAATTAGGCTTCTTTCAGGTTCCTGCAGATGGTTCCTGAATGTGAACAGACTCCTTATTTTTAAGCTGAGAGGTGTAAAAGCTGTTCTGTTCTTCCCTTGCAGCAGATTTTGCCAGCTATGAAAGCAGCTGCTGGTGTATTTTGAGGTCTTCAGCGAAGCACATTTAACGAATTCAGGAAAGCCAGCTACCACTTTTGAACCTCGCTAATCAAAAGACAGAGAAATGAGAGTTGTCACCAACTGTTAAGCCTAACACTTTCTGCCTTGAATTTTGCAGATGTTGTGTAAAATTAGGCTTGACCAATTCTCACCATTAAGCAAGGCTCCTGGAGACGGCAAATTGCTTATGAGAAATCCAGCAGGAAAATCAGCAACAAATGATTTGCAAACTCAGTGTTGCACACCATCAGCAACGGATTTGTGGGACCAGTAAGTTTTAAAACAGCAAGAAATCACTTTTCACGCTCAGAACGATATGGGTTTTGGTTAGAACACAGCTACGGAACATTGCAATTTCCACAGAATGGATGGTTTAAATTCTCTTGGGGGGAGGGGGGAGAGAGAGCAGAGACCAATTTCTAAGCACTAGCTGAAAGTAAAAAGCTGCTAAAAGAAATAAAAAACCAAAACAGCTGTCTTTGCCTACTCCTTGTCTTTAAGTTGACAATCTCAAATCGAAATGTTAATAAGCTATCATTAGGAGCAGCAGAGATCTTGCATTAGTACGCCACAGTAAATTTTCAACTGTCATTGCAATTGGATTATGTACTTCCTGCTCTGGGAAAGATTCTTTTCCCTTAACTGTACAGAACACAGCTCCAGTTTCAAAAGGACATCCGCTGGCTATCTGCTCCTTTTCCAGCCAACTGCTTGAGTTGAACACTCCAAAACCTGGGGATTTATCCAGTGAAAGAAACCCAATTCATGGAAGCCCAGGTTTACTCGTATGCTAGACTTCACCACAATCTGAGATACACAAAATCACATATAATGGCAAAGTCTACTCAGACATCAAGCTTAGAACACAGAATCACAGGGCTTGAAGAGACCTCAGGGTCTTCTTCTAATCCAATCCCCTGTGTTCAAGGCAGGAGACCACACTATAAAAAAGATGTTGAGACCCTAGAAAGAGTGCAGAGAAGAGCAACCAGAATGATGAGGGGACTGGAGGCTCAAACATACAATGAACGGTTGCAGGAACTGGGCATGGCTAGTCTAGTGAAGAGAAGGACCAGGGGAGACAGGATAGCCATCTTCCAATATTTGAGGGGCTGCCAGAGAAAGGAAGGGGTTAAGCTATTTTCCAAGGCACCCGAAGGCCAGACAAGGAATAATGGATGGAAATTGACCAAGGGGAGATTCAATTTGGAAATAAGGAGGAATTTTCTGACATTGAGAACAATCAACCAATGGAACAGAAGTTGCCTTTGCAAGTTGTGGGAGCTTCATCACTGGAGCCTTTCAAGAAGAGACTGGACTGCCATCTTCCAGAAATGGTGTAGGGTCTCCTGCTTGGGCAGGGGGTTGGACTGGATGACCTACAAGGTCCCTTCCAATCAGGGTGGATAAAAATCAATGATTTTTTTTAAAAAATCAATTTTTTTGATTTAAATCATATTTTTTGATTTTTATTGAATATATTTTAATAAAAAACTTTTGGGGTAAAAATCTATCGTAAGATAGTTTTCTATTTAAGATACATAAATAATTTAGTTTATTCAGCATGAAATGGAGCTTAGTTCTGTAGCAGGAGGCTGTATATTCTGCAACACTGGGACGATCGGTGAGTCAACAGTGGGTCAAAGGAGTAGCAAAGATGACAGTTGCTCTTTAAAAATTATGATTTAAATCGAGTTGATTTCAATCAAGGCTTTTGACTAGTGATTTAAATCATGATTTAAATTGTGATTTAAATCAACTCGATTTAAATCAAATCCACACTGCTTCCAATTCTGTTAATCTGTAAATCCCAAGCAAATGGTTGTCCAGCCTATTTTTGGAAACCTCCAGTGATGGGAGCATCCACAATTCCTGTAGACAAACTGTTTCACTGATTAATTCTTCTCACTGTCGGAAAATTTCTCCTTCCTTCTAGGTTGGATCTCTCTTTGATAAGCTTCCGCCTATTGCTTCTTTTCCTGCCCTCAGGTGCTTTGAAGAATAAGTCAATCCTCTCTTCTCTGGGACAGTCCCTCAAGTACTGGGAAATAGCTATCATGTCCCCCTTAATACTTCTCTTTGAGAGGCTAGACATATCTAGCTCCCTCAACCATTTGTCATACAATCTAGCCTCCAGATCCCGTATCATCTTAGTTGTGCTTCTCTCGGATCTCAACATCTTTTTCGTATCGTGGTGACCAGAACTGGATGCAGGATTCAAAATGTGGCCTCGCTAGTGCAGTCAAATGGTATTACCACTTCCTGCGATCCTGAAGCTATCCCTTGGTTGATGCAACCCAGGATTGCACTGGCTTTTTTGGCAGCTGCAATACGTTGCTTAAAATCAGGTTCCCCCTTTAATCAGAAATAAAGTAAAATACACAACTTAATAGAAGCCAGACATCAGGAG